AGTGATTGAGCTGGTATGAGCCACTGCTTATGAGGCTTGGAGGAATGCATCCCTTCGGGCAGATGACGGGCAGGCATTGTGACACAGTAGCCTAAACCATCTCTTTGGATGCCACCATCCCCTATGGGAGTGCTCGTTCCAGTCCTGGCTGCTCCACTTCCAACCCAGCTCCCTGCTAATAGGCATCCTCTGAAGCAGCAGATGGGGTGACTCACGTAGCTGGCCCCTGCCACCCATGTGGGAGCCCCAGATGGAGTTTCTGGCTCCTGGCTTCCACATAACCCAGCCCTGGCTTGTTGTATGCGTTTGAGGAGTGATGCAGGGAATGGAAGATCTTTATCTATCTATCTCTAATCTCTATATCTCCCTCTCTGTCTTTGTCCCTCCCTCCTTCTCTCTCTCTCTGTAACTCTGCCTTTCAAATAAATAAGTAAATCTTTGGAGAAAAAGAAATTGTTTATTTGAGAAACACATGGGGAGAGAGAGGGAGAGCGCTCTCACCTGTTCACTTCCCTTCTGAAATGCCCATGATGATGGGGACATGATTGAGTTGAAGTCAGGAACCTAGAACTCAGTTCATGTCTCCCACGTGGGTAGCAGAAATCCAGCTGCCTGAGCCATCCCCGCTGCCTTCCAGGGTCTGTCTTAGCAGCATGCTAGCATCAGGAGCCGAACCAGGCGCCAAATGCAGGCACTTGAGTGTGGAACTCAGCATTCCAACTGGTGTTTGAGCCACCAAAACAAAAATCTACCCTAAGCCCAAAGCTTTTGGGGAAGATAAAGTGAGGCAGAAAGCTAAGTCTCCAGGGGAGCTTCCAGTTCTTCTCCTCCCCTCTGTTGAAACTCATGGAGACTCTTAGAACATTCTAACTCAATCCCCCTGCTCTTCCACTCATCTCTCGTCAGGCTTAGCTCCTTACTGATTGTATCTCTGGCCTTGGGAACGCTTCAGAACCTTCTTTACCAGATTGTTATTCCCAACACTGCTCATCCTTCAGTCCCAAGTGACTACACGTTTGCCTTTTGTGTCCCGTTTCCGGTGCCTCCAACTCCATGTCCTTCCTGTGGGCCCTGGAGCTGAAATCCAGCTGGAGTCCTGGAAGGACTGTTCCTAGGGTATACACGGGCCATACTCATTATGTAGCAAGAGGGACAAAATCTCAGTGACTTGCTCAGTCATGGTCATAAGCTGCCTGACTCAAACTCAGCTGCACACAGTTGGGAAGAAGAGTCAACAAAGAGCTGGGTCAGCTCAGGCTGTTCCATGTATCTGGACCTAATGCACCTGCTCACCTGGGCTACCTTCAAGAGGACATTTGGAACTGAATCTAGACTCGACAGGGAACCCTGTTGTGATCACTTGAGGGGTACCGTGCTCAATTTTAAATGTATTTTCCATTGTACAGTTGTTCCCAGACACCCCGTGTTTGTCTGCTGAGGTCACCAGAACTGAACATGGGCTTACATTCAGGGCAGTTTTTATGGAAACGTGGGGGGATGTGGCGGCTGCGTTCTCTTACAGCTTTTACCAGCTCTTGCACCAAGAGCTGGACCTTGAACTTGGAGGTCTTAGTTTCCTTTCCTGAACTAACTTGGCTTCTCCACGAGTCTACCAGAGAAGCCCATCCAGCTGCCAGGGCACACTCGCAGCTGGCCGACAGTCCACACATTCACAGCAACACCAGGAGTTTGACTGTGTTTTCCGTAAGAAGTGAAAAGTCAACCGATCAGCACAAGAATGAGGAATCCAGTCAGCAGGTGTTTTGAAGCAGGTTTCTATGGTGGATACTTTTCAAGTCAGGTTTATTGAGATATCATTTAGGTTGTCTTAAGTTTTGTGGTTTGTGAAGTTGTGTGTGTGTGTGTGTGTGTGTGTACTTCTAAAATTGTTAAGCTGTGGCAAAATTAGCATTAAAGTTTGCCATCTTAAGTGTTTTTTTTTAAAGAGTCATTTATTTTTATTGCAAAGTCAGATATACAGAAAGGAGGAGAGACAGAGAGGAAGATCTTCCATTCATTGATTCACTCCCCAAGAGACCGCAATGGCTGAAGCTGAGCCAATCTGAAACCACGAGCCAGGAGCTTCTTCTGGATTGCCCACATGGGTGCAGGGTCCCAAGGTTTTGGACCATTCTCTACTGCTTTCCCAAACCACAAGCAGGGAGCTGGAGGGGAAGCAGGGCTGCCAGGATTGGAACTGGCTCCCATATAGGATCCTAGTGTGTGCAAGACGAGGACTTTAGCCACTAGGCTACTAGGCTGCTGCACTGGGCCCTTAACTGTTTTTAATATATCATTCAGTCATGTGAAGTATTTCCACATAGTTGTGCAACCAATCTGCAGAGCCCTCTTTAGCTTGTAGAATGGAAACTTTATATGCAGTAAACTGTGCATCTTTTCCCCTCTCTTCAACTCCTGGCACCCCACTGTTCTGCCTCCTTTATGAATTTGACTATGCTGGGGTTCTCACATGTGATTCTGCAGTATTTGTCTTTTTGCAAATGGCTTGTTTCATTTATCATGATGTCCCCCAGGTTCTTCCTTGTATCAAAATCTGCTGCTTTTCATTTACTCGTTTTTGTTTTTGTTTTTTTAAGGCAGAGAGACAGGGAAAGATCTTGGTTCACTTCCCCAAATGCCTGCAGTAGCCTCAGCTGGGAGAGGTGGAAGCCAGTCCAAGGGACCCAGGCATCTGAGCCATTGTCCCCCAGGTATGCATTCACAGGAAGCTAGGCCAGCTGGAGGATTCAGGATTTGAACCAGGCACTCCAGTATGAGATGTCAGCATCCCCATCAGCGAAATACACATCCAACCTCCTTCTTAAGGGTGAATAATACCAAGATTTGTTTATCCATTCCTCTATTGATGAACACTCCGTTAATTCCACCTTCTGGTTTTTGCAGATAATGCTGCTATCAACATGGTGTATAAATAACCTCTCTGAGATCCTGATTACTATAACGTGTGTGTGTGTTAATTGAATGAAGAATTGCACCTAGAAGAAGTACATATCTCATTGTTTTGCATTGTTTTTATCGTTTGTAGAAAGTCAGGAATGCAGTGATTTTTGCCGGGCGTTATCTGCATGGTTTTTAGTGTGGTCACTCCCCCTTATGTGAGAGCTGCCTTCAGATAGAAGAGCTGGAAGCAGTCAGTTCTGCCTCGGCGACTGGCGCACTCTGAGCAAGGACAAAATTGGGAATAACACTGGGTCTTGGTCCATCTTCTGTTGCTATAATGAATATCAGGACTGGATGACTTATAAAGAAGAGAGGTTTGTCTGGTTCATGGTTCCAGAGGCTGGGAAGTCTAAAAGCATGGTGCTGACACCTGGCAAAGCCTTCTGGGTGTATCCTCTGGCTCAAATGTGGGAACAGTGAGTCTGCTAGCTCAAGTCTCTTCCTCATCTCAGAAAGCCGCCTGCCTCCTTTGGAGCCTCATCTCATCCTAACCTGCTTCCCAAGGCCCCCACTTCCAGTTGCCATTGGCACAGAAACTTTAGGACCAAGTTTCCAATGCATGCACTTCTGGGGAACATGCTTCGTAGCCATAGCATAAGATGTGTTAATAAAACCCTTCCAGCTTCCCCTCCAATGGGACTTCCCACAGTGTCGCTCCCCAGGTGAGGGAGAAGCCCATGGTGCCTGGCGTGCTCTGCTCTAAGCTGTGCACCCTTCTCCCTGCAGAGGTCTGAAGCTAACACCTGTGATCCTGTTTCAGAATCAGAAGAGGGACAGGGGCTGCGAGGGGGAGTGAGGGGAGGGCTGCGATACATTTATGAATGAATTGGGTCAGAGAAGTGATCTGTGAATGAACTTTAGGGAAGCGAGAAACAGGGAGTCCTGTGAGAGGATGAGTCTTCCACCCTTCTCCTCTCCCCTTCCCCTGCCCATGCCCCACATTGCCTTATAGGTGTGGTAGAGCCCTAGTCCCCTGATTTGGCATTCATATAGCCAAGTCAGCTCTCAGCTGTGAGAAATTATTGTGGTGAGTCAAAAGGTTAGCAGTCTATCCGCACGTCAAGAAAAGTGGGCATCAGTGCAGTGCAAAGCGAGGATCATTCACTTGACCATTGCAGCCGGTCCTCCGCAGTTCCTCCTCCTGCCTTCCACCGACTCTGTCCCCCGCCCCGCCCCGCAGCACCCTCGTGCTGCACCCTCCCCCTGGAGGCTCAGGGACCTCCTGGCTGGTAGAGCCGTGGAAATCAAGTGCGCATCTGCCACCCAAGGCAGAGCAGGGAAGTGGGGCGGAGGTGACAGGCTCTGAGCGTGAATGCACACCTTTGTGCTTCTGTCTCCTTAAAATTCATCCTCTCACCTGCCAACCCTGAGAGCTGCCTATTTACATAGACAGCTGCCTAAAATGGAATAGGGATCATGTTTCACGGCAGCAGCCAGCAGCCGCTGGTTCACTCCCTGGGAGCCCTGCCCTCCTCCCACCCTCCTCCCCTTGAGCTTGATCCACTGAGCTGGCAGCTAGCCTAAAGCCACACTGAGCTGCCACTACTGCCACCGCGGGGTGTGATCCGGTCAGCGTGCAGAGCTCAGCAGCTGTCAGGCCAGGTGGGCGCTGGGCACAGGGGGAGGGGCTCGAGCAGCAGTGCCTCTCCAGCTCCCCAGCAGGTGCCTTGTAATGTTCAAGGTGCCCTGTGGAAAGCAGCCAGCACACAGGGCCTGCCTGGGGTTGGGTGCGGGGGGCGGGGGGGGGCAGGGAGAGGACATTGTCACAGGCACCGTGGGGAGCAGCCCAGCGGGGTGGGGGATGAAATCTGCCAGCGCTGATGCTATCCCTGGCGCCATGCCAGCCTCGCACCCCCTGTCGGTCCTTTCCGAGGCACAAATCTCTCTCCGCATCAAAACTGGAATCCTGCTGCTTGCTTCTAGGAAGAGTATAAATAAGTGATAAGGAAGTGTTCTGATAATGATAAGCGGGTATAACTCTGCTCAGCAAACCAAATGTATCAAAGAAGGCGATTGTGTGTATGTTTTTTTTTTTTCAGTGTTCCGGTTCCTGTAGTCAGTTTAGAGAAAATTCCTAACCTAGTGAAGGCAGATGGTGCCAATGTCAAAATGAACTCTACAACCACTACTGCGGTCACCTCCGCCTCCACCACCTCCTCCTCCGCTGCTGTCATCTCCACCCTACCTTTAATTAAGCCCATCTTGATGTCCAAATCCGTGCCACCTTCACCAGAGAAGATATTAAATGGCAAAGGAATTCTATCAGCCACTGTAGACAAGAAACACCAAAATGGCACCAAAAACAGCAACAAGCCTTACAGAAGACTTTCAGGTACGTGTCAGTGTCCTTAGAGTCTGGCTTAGGAGTTAGACCAAAAGTGAGAGTCCGGTCCCTAATCCAGAAGCAATGTATTCTTAGAATTCAGCCATTTGTTTCCGTTTTAAGAACATCAAGCTAGATAAACTCTGGGGATCTCAGGGAGAGAGCTCAACCTCCCCTGTTCCTGGGACAGGTTCCGTCTCCCCTGAAACAGTGGTTCAGCAGAGTTATTTTAGTGACCCAGAAGGCAGGGAGCTCTGCCAGTATGTGCATTCCAGGAAGGTAGGGGAGAGGTCTGGTCAGCAGGTGGCCCTGTGCAACCACACCAGGTTGATGGACTCAGCTGCCCCCAACCCAGGAGCATGTCACAGCAGCTCTAGGCCTACCAGGTACAGCCCCATCAGCGATTCATACTGTACAGGGAGATACAACCTCAGTTGTTTGATTCTAGAGGTTTCTAAGCCACTGGCAGTTGGAGCTACAACTGCCACTTCTCCGTGACCAGGTCTGACTTCCCATTGGAAGAGACCTGGGCAAGCCCCACACGCAGGTAGACTGTTGGGAGAGTCTGTTGGCTACCCCGCTTGACTGAAGGGACTGATGGCTGTTTCTGGAGGTGACAGCTTATTATCAAGACCCCTTCATGCCTGGTGTTTGCTTTCTGATCTGCTATGGAACTCTGGCAGTTCTGCTTTCTTGAATGACCAGGAAAGGATACACAATTCTGACATCTTCATACACCCTGGACAATAAGTATCTCATGGTGACCAGAAAAACTAAAATCCTATGAGAAGCACCTTCCATGAGAAAAAGCATCTTCTGGGTCATGGATATAGTACGGAAGTACCCAAAGAATTGTGGATGATTTTTGTCATCTTCTTGACATGGATCTCTTTCTAGTTTTTAAAAAATGTTGCATTTGTAATTGTTTGGACAAATTTGTGTCTCTATCTTACCCGTCATGGGCTACAACCGCGGTGGTTGTAAAGAGCAATGTCTCGACATGGCAGTTATAAGAGTGACTACCCTCTCGCGTGCAATGGATAAGTCCTGCGAGGTGCAAGGGCTAGTCAGGTGCATCATGCTCGAACTCAGTGCAATGCCATAATGGCCTGAGGTGCAGGAGCCATGATGTCCATGCTCTTAACTAAACCCGTTGAAGCATGCTCAACCATACCATGGGGGAGTCACCATACTGCATGGCTAGTAGGGCTTGATGTATATTGCCACACGATCTCGCTGAGCGCGGTGTCTCAGACGACACAGGCAAAAAAGGCATAAGGCACAGCCTGCACACAAGAGCAGAATCAGCACAACCACTCCCACCCATTCCTTAATATGGGAAGTGATGTTCCAAATCCAAGTGGCCAGGGTTTCAGCAACAACAGGATCCACCCGTGTAGAATTAATCTGGACAATGGCAATTCTCAACTCCGACTGTAAAATATCAAATTCTCTCGTCCAATTTCCTAAAAGATAAGAAGAAAGCTGGCAAGAAAGATTAGCAGCCGTTGAAACATTTTGAAAAGGAATAGAAGTAACACATAAACCTTGACACTAAAATTCTCAGGAAATGCTTGAAAATAAAGCGTGTCCTGTAGGGGGAATAAAAAATTACTCACATTCTCCTTAATATCATCATAAGGGAGAAAAGGCAAATCCAAAGAAGAAAAAATCAAGGAAACACTCGGGCTGAGTGGGCGACCGGTAAGGGTCGTGGAAAAACACTCAAAACTCCTCATCGTGGCTCAGCAATCACGGTCCTCACAAGCGCCATACAGACCCTTAGTTGCACCATCAGCCATGTTTGCACTGGGCGGGGCACCATTGTCCTGTGGGATTGTAGGAGGAGTTTCTGATTGCGGGGTTGCATGAATCTTCCCCAAGTCAGATCCTCGTGCAAGCGCTCCAGCGGTTGCAGAAACGTCAGAAGGCGGTGATGGACAGGAACGAGTCAATCGAGCTGGAACCCAAACCGGAACTGGGGCGTCCTGTGGAAACACACAAATGGCTCCTCGAGCCTGCCTAATAACTGGGTCTGGGCCCTTCCATTTGGACTCCAGAACATCCTTCCACTTGACCCAAGATTGCTCTTGCGCCGTGTTAAGGGAATGACGATCTGCAGCACTAAGGCCTTGCTCATCCAGCTGTAAAAAATTGATGGTGAAGAGAGCCAGGGCTAGGGTGGCCCAAGGGCTCTGACTGGCGAGGCCAAGCGATTCCCAGGTGGTTTTTTGTTTTTGTAACAATTCCTTAATAGAGCGATGAGCACGTTCGATTATCCCCTGACCTTGTGGATTATAAGGGATGCCAGTCACTAATTTGACGCCCATCTTCATGCAAAAATCACGAAATTTGGCTGAAGTATAGGCGGGACCATTATCAGTCTTAATACATTCAGGTTTACCCCACTCGGCCCATGCCTCCAAGCAGTGTTGGATTACCTGCGGGGCAGATGGCTTCACAGCAGGAGGAGCCATTAGTGTAATGGCTCCAGAGCCCTGAGGCCATGGGCCGAGCGTGGCCGGCGCAGTAGCACCGCCATTCTCTTTCTTCTCCTTTTCTGATCCTCCTCTGTCTCCTGCGGGTTTGCGTTCTAAGCGCCTATCCCGCTTGTACCCTTCCTCCGCGTCGGACGTCTCCGAACTTGATGAGGAAGATACTGCTTTCAATTTCACCTCTATTTTTTGCTTCAAACCGGTTCTCCTCTCCCGCTCTGTTTCTGAGAGACTATCCTGGGCAGACTGAAGGGCTTTGTCACTCTCTCTGACAGCTCCCTTATGGGGGGCATAAACCATCTGCAAAAATTTCACCAGAGAGATCCGTGCGCCCATGTCTATAACCAGAAGCGGTGGTTCCTATACCTCCGATTTATGCTCCTAGTCACCCGAAAGTTCTCCCTCTCAGAGCTCCTTACCTGTCTTATGGCCGCAGTTCTGACTCCGTCCCGTTTGAAACGGGAGGCCCCCTCCTTAAAAGAATCTCAGGTCCCAAGCATTCCAATGAAGCAGTTCCCCCACGTAATGCTCACCCAGTGTCAGGGGAGAAAGGGGAGAATTTGGGGGCTCTCTGTGAGCGTCAGGGGGCCTACCTTTGTGCGCTGCAGCAAATGGAAGGGTTGAAGTGACAGCATCCCAGGGAAAACCAGCAGGCCTGGGCACCATGTCCAGGACCATGAGGCCCTTCACAGCAGAAGCATGACCTTGGCTTCCAGCCTGCAACACTCCCCCGCCCCCCACGGCGTGAGGGAGTGAGTTTTTGTGGACTCTACTTTCTGGGTTGTGTCCGTTGTCTTGTTGCGTGGGGTCTTTTGCTTGCTTACTTGGCTTTCACCTCTGAGAGCCAGCTCCCCCAAAACCAGCTGACGGCCCGTCCATTTACAAGCTAGCCTGAGGTGCTGGTGGAAAAACTGGACCCGGGCCTCCTCCTGCCAGGCTAAGGAACTCCACGCGGGGAGCAGCTTGGGGGCTTGGCACCCAGGCACTCACTTCTTGCTGGTTGGAGAGGGCTTACAGAAAATAAGTAGTTTTCTTAAAAGCGAAGCTTGAGGTGGGGGAACAAAAGTTAAAAAGGGAAAGAGTATTTTAATAGCCCCCCTCCCCTCAGAGAATCTGTCTTGGATATAAGGATGGTTTCCCAGTACACACCATGCTTACCACAATTGCAACCTCCCGGTGATTCCTAAACATCCTTTGGAAAATTGAACACATTCATCCATGAAGTTGAGAGGTTCCCGCCCCCCACCGCAACTCCAGACTTTGGCCAGCCAGGTCGCCTCCTGGGAGTTTGCAGCCACACAGAGCAGCTCTTCCTTGTTGGGTGCCTTCCCGAAAGCACCCAGGCCATGTGAAAGTGAAGTGTAACGGGTCTGTGGGAGACGGCCTCAGCCCTCATTTTACACCTGGAGAGAGCATGGTCCTGGCATCTTGGGAGAAGTGAAGGATGTGCAGGTGGATGTTAAAAAAAAAAAAAAAGGAAAGGAAAGGAAGAGTAAAGCACATCCCTTAGAAGTAGCCTCTTCTCTAGCCAGGACACGTAGGGTCCGGGAGAGGCTGGGCCTGTGGAGCATCCGGCCTGGGCTGGGGGCACAGCACCTTCATTTCAGCTCCACAAAGACACATGCTCAAGTGTCTTGTCCTGACCCTACTAGGTGGCACTGCTATAGACTGTTCCCGAATCAGGTAAATGATCTTTCCAGTGAGCGAGAGCCTGTGCCTAGGGCTTTGTGAGGGAGGCAGGTCACTTTGACATGTCAGGGGATAATCTCACGCTTAAATGGCTCGGAGGAGCAGGAAGGCGGGCGGAGGCAGGCAGAGGTGCGCTCCTATCGCTGTCCCGGGCTGGGGTTCTGCAGCCAGCTGTGTCACAGTGCCAAGCACCTGGGAACCGTTACAAGGAACCTACTAACCCCGCGCGGCAGCGGATTCCTTCCCTCAGGTACACACCTGTGCCCCATCCCCGCGCTCTGTGCCTTGCACTGGAATTGGGAACAAACAAAACAACAACAAACCAGATTGCCTAACAATGTCTCACTTGTTGGTGCAAATGTGCTTTTAAAACAAAACAGAACCAAGCAAAATGTAGTCTTAATGACGAATCCTATTTAGTCTCCCTTTTTTCTTATATTTTTTGTTTGTTTCTTAAACCAGAGAGAGAATTTGACCCAAATAAACACTGTGGAGTATTGGATCCCGAGACAAAGAAACCTTGCACAAGATCCCTCACCTGCAAGGTATTTCTCTTTCCATAAAAAATACTTCCTGCTCTTGCTGGGGCCTTTGTCGAAATGTTTGCATGCCACTCTCTGCACACTGCAGGGTGTGGAACCTCGACATGACCTCCAGCTGTTCTTTGTAAGGGAAATGCTTTCTTCTGGTCCGTGGTAGCAGAGTGCCTGCCTCAAGCTGGCTGGCTTTTTAAGAAGAAAAGAAAAAAAAAAAAAAAAACTAGGCTTCCCCGGTTACTTGTGAGGCCAGACAGTAAATTGTATTTATAGGCACTCACAGGCGGTTCTGAAGCCTGCTACAGCCTGTAATGTATGCAAGAGCGGCGGCAGCAGCAGCAGCGGCAGCGGCGGCAGCGCCCTGAAAGGCAAGCCCTGGAGGGGGAGGATGATCCGCCCCGCCCCCGCTCCAGCCACCCGGGGTGGCCGCCATTGGGCAGCCCAGAGCCCCCTGATTTTCCTCCTGAGCTGCGAGTGTTTCTTGGGATGGAGGCCACGAGCCTGTCTCCCTGGTGGCTCTGTGGGTCTGGGCTGAGCGCAGCCTCCCCTCTGCACCTGGGTTAACTCTGGCATCCCCACGCGGTTGCCTTTCATCAGAGAGCTTCTCCCTGGGTTCTGCGCTGAAGCTCCTCTTCCTCGGGACATTCTCTCTGAAGGAAGCCAGTGGCTTCTTAACACCCAGGAGCGTAGGGCATGTTTGCGATCTTGGGATCTCTGCCTCTTCCCAGCCACAGAACCAGGAGCTGTTGCCTTGAAGTTGACTTGTCCAAAGCACCTCTAAATTCCCATGCATTTGCTGTTTCTGAAATGGAGGGCCTGGGGGAAGCAGGTTTATGTGCTGATCAAAGAGGCTGTGCTTTTCATCTCTCTTCTCCTTAGACACACTCGCTAAGCCATCGGAGGGCAGTCCCGGGCCGGAGAAAGCAATTTGACCTCCTCCTGGCGGAACACAAAGCCAAGTCCCGGGAAAAAGAAGTTAAAGATAAAGAGCATCTCCTGACTTCCACACGGGAAATACTTCCAAACCAGTCTGGTCCGACTCAGGATTCTCTACCAGGATCTTCCGGGAGCTCGGGGCCAGAAGCTAAAGTCGCATCGCCTTTAAAATCCAAACAACCCAACTCTGTCCTGCCCAGGTGAGTTCCACCTTGGTGCCGTAGCAGCCGCGTGTTCCTTGGAAATTGGGTGGCTTCCCCTTGCTCGGTCTGTGGCATGCATTCTGATCATGTGTGATGTGGAAGTCGTAGTGCCAAGTCCCATAATGTGGCGGAGAGGTTTGCATAACGTGTGCATGAGGCCCCGCCACATAGCATGCTCCTGAGTTGGCAGCCAGTGTTACGGCTGTCATCACCACCCTCGCTCTGTCAGCATTGCTGTCGGCAGTAGCCTTCGTGGCAGGCCTTGTACCAGACAAGAGTGAGAGTAAGATGGAAAGAAATATTAGGAAGGGTGACACATTGCCCACCAGATAACGTTCCTGGTCACCTAGGATTTATGCTGGTTGATTGTCGGAGTGGATGGGTCAACCTGCCTTAGGAGCACACCGGACCATGCCAGCCCAGTTGCTGCACTGTTTTATGGATGTTTTCCTCTATCAGAGTAAAGAGCGAATTGACTGGGCAGAGGCTAGTTTTGTCCTTAATATTTCTCACCATTATAAGAAAACTTGTTCTTCTGAGCCACCTGTGTGGGGTTTTTGTTTGATTGTCCACAACAGAAAGGAAAGAAGAGGGAAGCAGAAATAAGACCCATTTGCATAAAGGGCAACTTTTAAAAATTTACTTACTTTACTTGAAAATCTGAATTACTGAGAGAAAGAGAGATCTTCTATCTGCTAGTTCTCTCTCCAAATGGCCACAACAGCCAGAGCCAAGCCAATCTGAAACCATGAGCCAGGAGCTTCCTCCTGATCTCCCCCATGGGTGCAGGGACCCAAGGACTTGAGCCATCCTCTGCTGCTTTCTTAGACCATTAGGAGTTGGATCAAAAGTGAAGCAGCAAAGACATGAACTGGCACTCATGTGAGCTGTCAGCACTACAGGCTGAGTTAGCCTGCACCAGCCCCAAGAACAATATAAAATCCTTGCATGTGGGTTTTTAAAAATTTATTTTATTTGAAAGAAAAGGGATAGCTGCAGAGAGAGATCTCCCATCTAGATCAAGTTGAAGCAAGGAATCAGGAACTCAGTGTGGTCTCCCATGCAAATAACGGGACCCAGCTGCTTGAGCTGTCATCACCTACTGCCGGCCAGGGTGCACATTAGCAGGGAGCTGGAGTTGGGAGCAGAGTTAGGACTTGAACGAGGCATTTGCACACAGGATGTAGACATTGTAAGTAGCACTTCAGCTGCTGCTCTCATGCATTTGTGCTTTGAACAATAGTGAACCAATTTCCATGTCATGGGATAGGGAGCCGCATATCCATTTAAAAATATCTATCAAGTGCCTGCTCCATAAGCATGTTACCATATTAGGCATCCTCAGGCAGGGGTGCAGAGAATAAAATCAGACTTCGCTCTTGGGAGAATTTATGGTTTAGTAAATGCAGTAACTAAATATCCATAAGAACTTCATAAAAGAAGCAGTATTAAGAGTACTCTGTGGGAAGTTCAGATAGTGATATTATCTGAATGTTTACTGCATCCAGTGTAAGCGTGAAAGTGTGATTGCCCACGTAAGCCAACACACTCAAAGGAAACAGCCTCAGGCAGTAAGGAGGGTGCAGCCAGACAGAAGTGCCACCCGTGCCCTTCCATCATCCCAGCCACTGGATGCCCTTGCCATATCTTGTTCTGTAAGATCAGTGTATACTTACTTCCTAATATGATCCCAGGTGTTAGGTTAGGGCAGGTACCCTGATGTTATAGTTGAGGACCTAGTTCTACTCCAGGCTTGTGGGAAGAGCTTCAAGTTCTTTGCACATCAATGTTCAGATTTCCTTGTAGCTGTGGAATACTTTGTTCCATCATGACTATCAAGGTACCCAATATAAAAGCAGACCTGGTGCTCGCTTTGGCAGCACATATACTAAAACTGGAACAATACAGAGAAGATTAGCATGGCCCCTGCGCAAGGATGACACGCAAATTCGTGAAGCGTTCCATATTTAAAAAAAAAAAAATCAGACCTGCCTCCACCTTAAGGCAGCTCTGCCCTTCCTCATCATACAAAAATGCCCAGCTCCATGTGCCCCCTAGCCAACCATGGTGGAGGAGCAGTTTCCTGATAGTCCCACCAATTCAGCCAAGGAATCTTTTATCACACGTGTCTGCTCTGATTTCTGTAGGATACAGGCACTTTCCATCCAGGAAGTGGTACCTCGCCCTATAGAGAAACAGGGAGCAGCATTGTGTTTTTTCAAGATTTATTTTTTGTTGCAAAGTCAGATATACAGAGAGGAAGATCTTCCATCTGATGATTCACTCCCCAAGTGGCCGTGATGGCCGGTGCTGCACCAATCCGAAGCCAGGAGCCAGGAACTTTCCCTCCAGGTCTTCCTCACGGGTGCAGGATCCTAAGGCTATGGGCCATCCCCCACTGCTTTCCCAGGCCACAAGCAGGGAGCTGGATGGGAAGTGGAGCTGCCAGGATTAGAACCAGTGCCTATATGGGATCCCAGAACATTCAAAACGAGGACTTCAGCCGCTAGGCCACGGGGCCGGGCCCCAAGGGAACAGTATTTTTAAAAACTGCAATGAGTGGTAGGGCATTGGGATGTCCTTTTTAAATGCTCTTCTTTGATGTAATGTGCGGTGAAATTTTGCCTATAGAAAAATGCCAGGTGCTCATGTTCTTATAGGGAAGTGAATGAAAGGGGAGAGGTGAGATTGATCAAGGAGAGTCTTTGGAGAGAAATGGGGGGAGGGTACAGGAATGTTATGGATGTTAATAGAATCATTGTTCAGGACACGTTTCCAGTTGATGTGGGCTCCAGAAGACTCAATGCTGAGGTCCTTTGCAAAGTCAATAGGGAGGAATTCTCATTTCTGCCTTTGAAGGTTAGGATGATTGAAAAAAGCACAACCACAGCTTCATGTTAGAATCACACAAAACTTCAAAAATGTTTATTTTTCTCACATTCATCATATGCAAGAGTACTTCAAAACATTCATGGAAAAATGAGTTAAAAGATAAGTATTTTGGTATAGATTTTTCTTAATCCTTGCAGTTTTTTTTAAGATTCATTTTATTTTTATTGTAAAGTCAGATATACAGAGAGGAGAGACAGAGAGGAAGATCTTCCATCCAATAATTCACTCCCCAGGTGGCCGCAACGGCCAGAGCTGTGCCAATCCAAAGCCAGGAGCCAGGAACTTCTTCTGCATCTTTCATACGGGTACAGGGTCCCAAGACCTTGGGCTGTCCTAGATTGCTTTCCCAAGTCAACTCTTGCCATTGCAGCCAAAGCAAGTGGAAGACCCCCCCCCCACCTCTCTGTAAATCTGCTTTGCAAATAAAAATAAATCTTTAAAAACATATGCCAGGATTCTGGCATTTTCAAAACCAGATGGAGCTTTAGGGTATTATGTAGGTGCAACTCATCAGATAAGAAAAGACAAGTGCTTTCTCTTTCCACTTATGTGCAGCATCTGAAAAAAAAACAAACTCATAGCAACAGAGTAGAATTCTGGTTGCCAGGGACTGTAGGGTGGGGGAAAAGGGGAGACATCTGTTAACCTTCAGTTCTAAGATGAATAAACTTTAGGAATCTGAGACATGGCAACAATACTGTAGTTAATTATACTGTGTTACATGCCTGAAATTTGCCAAGAAGGTAGGGTGCAAATGTTCTCTCTCTCTCTCTCTCTCTCTCTCTCTCTCACACACACACACACACACACACACCTACGAAGCCATAACTTTTGGATCAGCCCAAATCCAGGAGCCCGGAACTCCATCCACATCTCACACATGGATGACAAGGGCCTAAGTACTTGGTCGGTCTCTCACTACCTTCCCAGTAGAAGTAAGTTTGGAGAGTGAATGGAAGATCCCTGTTTCTCTCTCTCTCTCTCTCTCTCTCTCTCTCTCACTCTCTCAGGTTTTGAGCTTTTAAATAAATTCATAAATTACAGAGTTTGGAAACAAGTTACATGTTCGCCAATAGACTGTTTAAGTCAACTATGATAAAGCTATAATACCTCCATGTTTGTAGATACTAGAAAATGCCTGCAAAGATTTCTGCAACATTATAGGATTAAAATAAGTCTCAAGGGCCCAGCGTTGTAGCATAGAGGAGAGAGCTGTTGCCTGCAATGCTAATAACCTGTATGGATAGTAGTTCATCTCCCAGCTGCTCTACTTTCAATCCTGCTCCCTGCTGATGGCCTGGGAAAAACAGTGCAAGTTTGCCCAAGTATTTGGACCCCTGCACCAGCATAAGCAACCCGAAAAAAGCTCCTGGATCCTGACTTGAGACTGGCCCAGCACTAAGGCTGTCGTCTGCTGCCTTCCTAGACACACCAGCAGAGAACTAGATCAGAAGTGGATTGGAACCTGATCTGAAATATTGATACCTGTGTCAGAGATGTTAGCTTAACCCGCTGTGCCACAGCTGTCTCATTCTCTGTCTCATTCCCCCAAATATTTGCAACATCTGGGGTTGGGCCAGGTCACAGCCAGGAGTGGGGAATTCAGCTCAAGTCTCTCATGGGTGGCAGGAACCCCAGTATTTGAGCCATCACCTGCTATGCCCTTCGGTGTACATTAGCAGGATATCAAGAGCAGACATGGGATGCAGTGTCCCAAGTGGCATCTTAACTAATACACCAAATGTCTGCCCCTAAGGGTATGATCTTGGACTGTAGACATTTTTTTGAAAGATTTATTTTTTATTGGAAAATCAGATTTACAGAGAGAAGGAAAGACAGAGAGAAAGATCTGCTATCCACTGATTCACTCCGCTAGAGGCCACAGCAGCTGGAGCTGAGCCAATCTGAAGCCAGGAGCTCGGAGCGGGTTCAGGGTCCCAAGGCTTTGGGCCATCCTACACTGCTTTCCGAGGCCACAAGCAGGAAGCTGGAAGGGAAATGAAGCAGAGCAACTAGGATACAAACCGGCATCCATGTGAGATCACAGCACATGCAAGGCAAGGATTTTAGCCACTAGGCTACCACGCCAGGCCCTGAACCATAGACTTTTATCATACATAATGGATGGTATCTTTATTTTCACAAGTATGGAAGGTGTTAGTCAACAGCAAATTGTCATCCAAGAGCATTCCTTTTTGGTATGTTCTAGTTAGTGAATTTACTTACTTGAAAAGCAGAATGACAGAGACATTGAGGGAAATTGAAGAAAGAGAGTGAGAGAGAGAACGTGATTCTGTCTTCCAATGGACTCCCTAACCATCTGCAATCCAGAGCTGAGCAAGGCTGAAACAGGAATCAGGAACTCGGTGTGGGACTCCCTCGTGGGTGGCAGGAAGCCAAGGACTTGTACCATCACTGGCTGCCTTCCGGGAGCATCAGCAGGAAATGGATGGAAAGTGGAGGCTCTCCAATAGGAGATGCAGGCATCTCAAGAAATGGCTTAAAACCCACCATGTGCTATGCGTACCCACTCAAGAGAATCCTTGCACTGACACCAAAACATTACCTGTTTCCTTGTTTCATTTCTATAGCAAAAATACATATAACATGGACCTTGTCATCCCAATCATTTTTGATTAGATAGTCCAGTGGCATTGAATGCGTTTACCACAACGTAGTAGAATCGTGCCACCATGTATCACCAGAGCTTTTTCATCTCCTCCTGCTCCCAGTAGCCACTGTTCTCACTGTGAAGTCCCTCACATAAATGGAGCTGTATCCTTTATGTCTGACTTGTTTCTGGTCAGCATGATGCCCTGTTGGGCTTCCTCTGCTGCAGCCTGTGTCAGAATCTTATTCCTATTTAAGGCTGGCACAATATTCTACTGAATGGACATGCCACATGCTATTTCTCCACCTAGTGGAATGTCATCAGTCCATCATAGATCTGTGGATAGACATGTGGCTTTGTTTCTAACTGGCTGTGCTTTTGGAATCTGGTTTGAATCCATTCAGGTATTTGAGACCTAAAAATACCTCGAAGCAGCGTGCAAAACAAAGTAACTGAATTCAAAGATTCCAGAGTAAAAAGGAAAGAAAAAGGTATACTGCAATGCTGCTTCAGGTCACATCAAGGGACAGCTCACAAAGCAAAATGCAACTTTTAAATTTTTTTATTTTTTAATTATTTTGTCCATTTGAAAAGGTAGAGTGTAAAAGAAAGGGTAAGAGAAGGAGAGGGAGGGAAAAGATCTTTCATGTGGTGATTCACTCCCCTAAACAGCCGCAACGACCCAGAGCTGAGCCAGGGTAAGGTCTCCCACGTGAGTGGCTGGCACCCAAGCACTTGGGCCATCTTCCATTGCCTTCCCAGGTGCGTTAGCAGGGAGCTGGTCAGAAGTGAAGCAGCCAGGGCTCAATCCGGCACTCAGACTAATGGCATAGCAACATGACAGGTGGCGACTTGAACTGCTGCACCACAGTGCTATCCCCACATCTTTTGCTGTTGTTGTTATTTGTTTGTTTTTTATTGGAAAGCCTGATATACAGAAAGGAGAAGAAACAGACAGGAAAATCTTCCGTCCAATGATTCACTCCCCAAGCAGCCACAACAGCTGGAGCTGAGCCAATCCGAAGCCAGGAGCCAGGAGCTTCTTTCAGGTCTCCCACAGGGGTGCAGGGTCCCAAGGCTTTGAGCCCTCTTCAACTGCTTTCCCAGGCCACAAGCAGGGAGTTGGATGGGAAGTGGGGCTGCTGGGATTAGAACCGGTGCCTGTATGGGATCCTGGCGCACAAGGCAAGGTCTTTAGCCACTAGGCTATCGTGCCAGGTCCTAGCCCCACATCTTAATTTTTTTCCCCCAATTGTTCTCTTTGCTATCTCTCCTTGAAGTGGAGAAATTAGTAAAACAACCAAAAAAAAACCCAACTGGGACTATTCCTCCTCTAATTAATATGACTGTGGTTGGTTTCACCTTGCCTTGCCTTGCCTTGTTTTGTTGTATACTTTTTTTTCTTTACTACTTAGGAACATGTCATGCTATCTGTTTCTCTGGTATTGCTTTTTTATAAGCTTCACTGTAATTGAGATAACATCTGTTAGGCTGCTTTATACACATGAATTTCATTCATTCCTTCATTGAGAAAAAAGTCTGTCTTCAATGACTGAGTGAGCTGGCCGTGCTAGGCAACGTGTGAAGTGGCTGGTGGAAAATTAAACTGAGGCCACAGTTGTGGTACAGCACGCTGAGCTGCCCCCCGACACGCCAGCGTCTCATGGCAGAGCACCAGCTTAAGGCCCGGCTGTTCCGCATGCAGTCCAACTCCGTTCTGATGGGGGGAAGGCAGTAGAGGATGGCCCAAGCGCTTGTGTCCCTGCCACCCAGGCGGGACACTGGGGTGAACTTCCAGACTGCAGGCTGCTAGCTTTGACCTGGGACCAGTGTCCTGGCTGCTCCACTTCCCATCCAGATCCCTGCTTGTGGCCTGAGAATGCTTGTGGAATAGAGGACGGCCCAAAGCCTTGGGAACCTGCACCCACGTGGAAGACCCAAAAGAAGCTCCTGGCTCCTAGCTTAAGATCAGCTCCAGCTGTTGTAGCCACTTGGACAGTGAACCAGCAGACTGAAGATTTTTTTTTTCTCCTGTAAATCTGCCTTGCCAATAAAAATAAATCTTTAAAAAATTTTTACAAACCTCAGAAGATACAGTTAAACTGTCCATGGCACATGAAGAAAAGGGCCTGCTGGGGCGGCAGGAGGCTGGCTGCAGTTTCTTCCCTAATTTTCTCCCTTTCCCCGGGTATAGGAGGAGGAGGGGAAAGATATGGAAACAATGGTCTCACCCAACTCCCCTAGTCCTTGACCCTTCTCACCCTGGTCTACTATGTAAGCATCTTCAAAAAGGAAAGGGTTAAAAAAAAGAAGAAGAAGAAAGAAAAAAAAAGCCTAGCCACGGGGTAAGGGACAAGTGGCCCATCACTGCCACAAAACCCTTCTCATGGCTGCAAGATAGTGATTTCCTAAGAGACACCGTGTCCCCAGGAGGGCATTCCTGTATTCCTGCTCCTCTTCCCCTGGTTGAGCCCCACTTCCAGAGGGAAGTGACCCTGAGGCCTGAACAGGTGACAGACACACCGCCAGGAGAAGAGCTGGGTGTGAATTTACAGAAGATGAGTGTGAGGTTCCATTAAATCTCAGCCACTCCCTGCTCCCAGGGTTGTTGGGCTTTCCCCGCTGTGCCTGATTTTCGCTCCTACCTTTTCTTGGGGCAGCCAGCAAGTCAGGAGCCCAACGCTGCGGGATCCCTGGAGATAGTGGTCTCTCCTCCACCTCTTCACTGCCCCTGTGTGCTGAGCCATCAGCCACCCACCTTCCCAGACCAGTAGGGTATGCATCAGTGGGAACTGCTTCCTGGCTGGCCGGTGGGTCAGTGGGTTGTAACCTCAGAGAAGTTCATTCTTGCTGACTCGCCCCTCCTGCCCTTAGGCCATCCTCTGCAAACAGCATAAGCAGCAGCGCATCCTCAAATCACAGCAGCCACACGCCAGAGCCCCTTGTGCCCCCAGTGGGAGGAGACCTTGCCAGCCGACTGTCCAGTGATGAAGGGGAGATGGACGGAGCCGAGGAATCCGAGAAGTTTGATTGTCAGTTCTCAACGCACCACCCCAGACCTCTTGCGGTAAGGCCTCCTTCTGTTTCCTGCTACAGGTTACCCCTCCCTTATACACGCTTACACCTGTGCCCTGCAAGCACTCGGCTGGTGGTGCTGGAGGCAACCAGGCCCGAGGAAAAGCTGCAGAACAGTGTTGTTTTACCTACAGGCTTGTGATTCTGAATTTGAATGAGCGCCTTAGAAATGCCCTTGAACATACTGAAGGGTAGGAGAATGCTCAGCTCATAGCTGATTGGAGCTTTTAAAGCCTCGTGTTGATATAACCCACCTGCAGGCAAGAATGCTAAAGATCTGGTGTTTTGTATAATTGTCTTCAGAGCTGATCCTGCTGGCCTTGCCCATCTGAAAATAGAGCTGGTGCCACGTCCAGATTTAGCCGGGCTCGCTTGGCCCTGGGAATTATGAGCCATCTTATCAGCATGCCAACAAATATGACCAGTGACACCAGAACCAAGGGGAGAGGTGACGTGCAATTGAGAAAATAAGAATGGAAACAAGTAATATAAAAGCAGCGTGGCCAGAAGGAAGCCCCCTACTCTTCTCTGCAGAAAGGAGGCTGACCCAGAAGGCTCACTGCCTCAAGCTTTCATTGAACTGCTCGGGAAGTCAAATTACACGAATTGAGGTGGCACAAACTTTAATAGCGTTAGGGAAATTGACCACTGGAGATTGATAGCCACTTGTAGAAGGAAGAACATTTATTTCCTCTGGAGGACACCAGCCTGGATTACTCCATAATGGCTGAACCTCAATGGACTTCTCTCTTGAGTTTTTATAGAGCAGTTGCATAAGAGCTATTTTAGCACTGGTGCCGCAGGAGAGTAGGAATACAGGCAAACACTCAGTGGTTGGCTTTGAACTGTTACAATCCTGGAAACTTCCTGAGTCACTACAGCCCACACTTCCTTGTCTCCTTTTTTCTTTTTGAGGGGTAATATGGGTTTTCCCTTTCATTTTTTAGGTATGATAAGCAATACAGATGCAATCATGTGCCAATGTGCCACCTGACAGCAGGAGCGAGTTCTTAGAGGTGCCCTGCTAGTCTTCTCCTTGTGCCAGGGACGGTGCTGTGCTCCGCCTTTGTCCTGGAGGATGGAGTGCCCTGCACACACTTCTGCACTCAGGCTCTCTGAAGCCTTATATCCTTTCTTACCCTTGGCATTCTTGTCTTTACCTGACTTTACTGCGCCTGTGGAATCTGGTTTCTTGCTATGTGACTGCTGTACCCTGCCTGTGAGCTTGGCATTTCACACACAGCTTGGTTTCCACTTCAGTGGCCATATCCCATATTCATGTTAACCAGCCAGTGCTAGATCAGGAAGGAAGAGTGGGGCCAAAGTACAGAAGTCAGTATGTGACTGTCTTAAGGATCACCTGAAAGCACACAGTTCTGTTGCCTTGGACCATTGCCCAGCTACAGACCCCTGCCAGCACACCTGACCTTGATCTCGCCTTTTGTCCATCTGCAGACAGTTCCCCACCGAGCACCAGCAGTCTGTGAACTCCAGATTCCAGACTCAGCCCACCCTACCCTTCCCTGTAAATCCTGCTGAGTTTTACTGCAGCTGAGGGTGTGTAGGTAGGGGTGTTGAGGGGAAGAGGGAAGCACTTCATCTCAGTGTATTCGCTGAGGAACACAACCAGCACTTTGTATCCAGTAACATGAGTGAATCCACTTAGCCATTCAGGGGCTCATCAAAATCCAGGTGGGTCACCTAGACATCAGCTGGAGGCTGGTGTGTTTGCCAAGTGAGGACATAAGATAGGGGTGTGAGGTGGAACCAGGGGTGTGAGGACTGATAGTATGGGGCCTAGGATCAGGTACTATGGCATCACAGGGGCACCAGCCTAAGTCCTGTATGATCAGCCCTGACCACCAAAGAGCTCAGGAGCTGTAGAAGGTGGGATCTGATCCTGCTTGAGGATCTAGTGAGCCCTGCCTCCTTTCTGAAGGAGTGAAGGCCAAGTTTACTTCCTGTTTCTGGGGTGCTACTTAACCTGTGTGGCTGTGAGGCTGTGCCCTTGGCTAGTGCAGAAGGAGTTAGGGATCATTGAGGAATGCTTTGTCTGTTGGTGATTGGAAGCCCAACCCACAGCATGGCAAGGTCATTTTGTCATCTCATGCTGCAAGAAGTCAAGAGACAGGTGCTTCCACACTTGCTCAATGTCACAGAGCTGAGGGAAGGTCTGTCTCTCTTCTCACCCTTCATGCATAATCTTGTTACATCTGTCACAACTCCCACATTCCACCCCCTCCAGTTGCATTCTGTGCAGAATGGTACAGATGAGATATCTCCATTCAGACCTCTCTCATTAGGAAAATGATATTTCTGATATTCATCAGAAATTAGTCCCATGCCCACTCCAGACTGAGCAGCATAGACAGGAAAGGGATTGGAGTGACACCAGATAAAACCAACCATGACTCAAGCCAAGGTTCCCATCAGATATCAGAGAGTAGAACAGAAGTGTGGACCTGTTACTGTGGTGAGCACAGAGGCCAGCTGGTGATACTGGCAGCTGGGAGAGTGCCAGGTGGCCCTGTGATGAGGGCCCACAGCTCTGCTAAGGGCCTCGACGAAGCTGAAGGCCACCCAGCTTTGCATGCGTGTACAGGTGGATACCTAGGGAGCAAAGATGAGAAGGTACCTGTAACTCCCAAGTTTGAAAATGGTCTTTGGGCCCGGCACGGTGGCGCAAGTGGTTTAGTCCTCGCCTTGCACGCCCGGGATCCCATATGGGTGCCGGTTCTAATCCCGGCAGCCCCGCTTCCCTTCCAGCCTCCTGCCTGTGGCCCGGGAAAGCAGTTGAGGACGGCCCAAGGTTTTGGAACCCTGCACCCGTGTGGGAGACCTGGCTTCGGATCAGCATAGCATTGGCTGTTGCGCTCACTTGGGGAGTGAATCATTGGATGGAAGATCTTCCTCTCTGTCTCTCCTCTCTGTATATCCGCCTTTCCAATAAAAAAAACAATAAAAATAAATCTTTAAAAAAAAAAAAGAAAAAGAAAATGGTCTTAGTCTCAACAAGAAGGCCAAACTCTGAAGTGCTGTCAAGATGTTCATCTAACAGACATGTTGCCAGCCACAGTCGGCTAGCTGAATTCAACATGGCACCTGGGTGTGTCTCTCATGTTTGGCTGATTGAAATGGAAAGGCTGTAGATTTGTTTCTCTGCTTTGTCCTTTGCTCTTATAGTCAGTTGATATGGAGAATCACTCTGCTCAGTGTGTGGCTTTAGCAGTTGAGATGAAGGGAAAAACAAAATATAGGCCTGGAACAGCTGCCACATGCTGCTGGAGCCTAGCATTGGGTAATTCCCTCACTCATCTCCTTGTCCTGTCAGTTAGAACTTACCATGACATTGCAGAGGAACACTCTTCATTGATCTGATGGGGGGGTGGTGTGGGGAGGGAGGCAAAACTGTATTGCAAACCACTCCTCAACCTCAAAACACAAATAGAACCAGAACATAGGGAAGGACTTGCCTTTGCTGCTGAGAACTGTTGCATAGGCTGGTTCCAGGATAGATTTGTGGAATGAGAGCCAATCCAGCACTATGTCTGGGATGAAGGCCAGGGTATTGCTGTGAGGCCCGGTAGAGGGAGGAGGGGAGAAACTACATTTGAGTTGTAGGGTCATTTGCACACTTGCTCAAACTCCAGATCAGCCAATTGTCACCTTCCCAGAGACTGCCTCTCGTATGTCTCCTGAACTTCTGGTTGTCCTCGGTCGTAACCAAACAGTGTTTTCTAAACATCCAGTGTCTGTATCCCAGCCACATATCTCATGTAAGATAGTCTGCTCTCAACACTCTGTGAGACCTTGCTTCTGCCATGAGTTCTCTAGCTCAGATCCCAACTGTGCTCACACTGAGGAAGAGCAGAACAGGGTCGCCAGTCTTTGCACAGAAGCTTTGGAGTCAGTTAGGTAGCCACGATGTGCATATTTCATAAAACAACCCTCAAGGGACTCCAAGATGAAATACAAAAAAGATATGCTAGACATGCCAAAACAGTTGATGCTGAGAAGACTTTGATGCTGGGTGAGGGCCTTTGGGAATGAGAATCTTGAGGGGGTGCAGTTGGGAGAGATGTGGTTGACAAAGAGGAGAGGGAGGGAGACTGGAGGCAGAGGGACCATTGTGAGTGAGAACTTTAGGGAGATGGAAATGTGTTCCGGGGGCAGTCTGCGAGGGTGGCCAGGAGGTGCAGAGGAGGACAGATCTGGGAATGACAGTGGTTAGCCTAATTGGAAGTTGAAATGGCTCTGCTGATATTGGATTGGAAAGTGGGTCAGGGGACCCAGAGTTGCAGAGCAAGCAGTTTTCTTTTCTTCTTCTTTTTTAAAGACTTACTTATTATTTATTGGAAAGGCAGCTCAGACTGAAGGAGAGAAGGAGAGACAGAAAGAAAGATCTTCCATCCACTGGTTCACTCCCTAAGTGGCCACCAAAGCCAAGAGCCCAGAGCCTTCTCCAAGTCTCCCATTAGGGTGCAAGGTCTCCAGGCTTTGGGTCGTCCTCTACTGCTTTTGCAGACCAGAAGCAAGGAGCTGGATGGGAAGTGGAGCAGCCAGGACACGAACCAGCGCCAACGTGGAATATTGCACAAACCCCCAGCGGGGGTTTCCGTCACTGTGATACCAAGTTAGACAAGTTAGAGAAGCACTAAGTTCTTCAGACAGCGGATGGTGAGACCCCTGACCACCAGGGGTCATGGTGGGCCATTTTATTTTATTTACCCTAAAGTATTGACTCAATCCCGCAACAAGACAGCCGACCCAAGTATTGCAGGGACCGTGGCTGCTGGCAGGTTACAGCATGGGGCTCATCACAGAACCTCAAGCTCTGGTAACAGCCCACAGTGAGATTTGCTTTGTTTTGTTTTGGCTCCCATACCGCTCGCCTCTTTATTTTGAGCCAAACTAGGCCCCTGTGTGTTTTTATGCAAATGTTATTTTTCTCTCTTTGCTTTATATTAGCTTATTAACCTGTAATCAAAATTAAAATGTGCTTTCCTTTCCCCATTCTGCTCAGTTTTGCTCATTTGGGAGTCGCCTTATGGGACGAGGATACTATGTGTTCGATAGAAGATGGGATCATTTTCGACTCGCACTCAACTCCATGGTAGAAAAACACTTGAACTCCCAGATGTGGAAGTAAGTGACACTTTATGTGTGCTGCAAGACCAGAGCTGCCCTTACCCTTGCTCCCAGACCCCTGTTCTCTGAGTCCCAGCTTCCCAGAGGAATCCAAGGCTCAGGCTTCTCTTAGGACCAAGTGATTTTGAAATTGGGGTTCATTCTGAATTTTGAAATATCAGCCCACCTAGAAATACCTATGGATGTGCTAGACGCTGTGTTTTTCTTGAAAGTCATTTTGGGTTTGGTGATCTGCTAAGCTCAATGAAAGGAGGCAAGGCCATATTAAACAGTAGTGAAGCCTTCTCATTAAGACTGGGCATCCACGAGTATTGGAGGTATGCTCCCATTATTAATTAATGCTATCATCCCAGCACCCAAAGATTTTTGTAATAATTATGGACCCATTTCCAGTTGTTTGCTGACCTGTTGGTGGGGAGGGGAACACATATTGTTTCCAGAAGGACATATCCTGGACAATGTTGTGAAGTTGGTAAAGTTTGTCTTTGGCCCTTCCCATCTCCTTGGGACCCCCTGTGTCTCACCTCCGCTTCTCTCCACCATGAATCTGCATTCTTCTAAGTCCCTTTGGTCTCAGACACTTCCCAACACCCTTATGTTTCAATGTGGAAGCTACAAAAAGGAAAACACTTGGATTTGCTAGAATACCCTTGTGGCAGAGTAACGGGGCTTAGACCCTCTCTGCCTCGGCGATGTGATGCTAGCCCTCTGGGTATCGCCTTACTGCACTACCTCACTGTCCCACTGCTGCACAGAGGAGCTTTCAAGCTGTCACAAGACCAACAGAATCGCAGAAGTCTGGGTTCAGAAAGTCCAGGAAGACACTCCCCTCACCCCTACTTCTCCTTTCTGCCACTTCTTCCCTCCCCCTACCTTTTGAGTCTCCCAGAGGTGGGAAAGAAAGTGCTCGTAAGATACAGGAGAGAACAGAACCCAAACATTATCCCTTCCTAGGTCTCCACCTCCCCTCCCCTGGGTAGCCCTAGCACCTGGGACCCTTTTATGACAATGCCCACAAGAGCTCCCAGACCTGACCTCCCAGGACACGGGCTTTGGTCTGTCCTCGAGCTGTCACAATGGACCCTGGTAGGACATTTCTGATCAGGCAAAAAGGCCACAAGAGAAGCTTGTCATGTCTTGCTGTGGGCAGGACTGCCCAGGGTATGAGTGTCTGAGGGGCACCCCCTGATTCCCATTTGCATCTGCTGAAGTCCCCAACCAGTGGGCACTGCGTGTGGGCTTCCTGTGTTCTCCATGACCAATGGTGTATCCTCCTACGCCTGTTCCCTGAGGTGATGGGCAGCCCCGTGCCAGCCCTTCCCCACCCCACTCCCATCCCCACCCCTGTTGTAGACGTGTGGATTCCATACACGTGGAAGGAATGTGTTGATCTGTATTTCGCTCCCTATTCCTTTCCTCCTTAGGCACAGAAGCCCGAGCCACAGGGCGTCAGGTCCCTCCCCCCTGTTCAGGACTTGCCTAACCAATCTGCTGTCACTGAGCAACATTGGGGCTGCCTGGGTGTCAACTCTGGAGAGCGTAGCGCCCCGCTGCCCTCTCAACCTCGCTGCCCAAACCCCAGGCCCCGATGGGCCCGAACCTGGAGGGATGGCAGCCGATGGGGGCATGGAAGACCTTAGGAAGAAAAGGAACGGCCAAGACTCTTTTTTCTTTAACAAGCATTTAACTCTGCATCAGGAGACGCCAACACAGTATTCTCTTTCAGCCAGGTCAGCATCTGGAGCTCTACACCAGCTGGCAGGGGAGGCATGGGCCCTGTCAGGAATGCATTTGCATCTGTGGGCTTCTGGACATGACTTTCTCCCAGGCCAGTGTGCAAAGCCTAATTGGGGACACAGTCTAGCCAGGTTGAAAGCCACTGCCTGTTTAAGCACTTAGAAAGACAAACTATTTATATAGCGTTAAGGGGATAGGGGCTCCCAGAGACAGTGAGCTGCCCCACGCTCACCCCACTTCTTGAGGGAGAAGAAGGAAAGGGGCAGCAGGCATCCCCCCAGGTGGTATCCGCCTTGGTCCCGAGAGAGCCACATGGGACTTGGGACTTGAGCACTGCTTGCCAGCGCCAAGTGGAAGCATGCCTCTGCACTAGTTAGTGTGAATGAGATAAGTTGGGACAAGAAAAAGGAGATCCTGTTCAGGGTGATCATTTGGATCTTGTTCACATGAGCCCTCCGGCATGTCTCATGTACTGCCAACCTCTTCCCACATGTGTTACCACCTCTCCCTTAGCTGGGGAGGAAATGGAATGGAGGAAAGAGTTTGCGTGGGATGCCTGCAGTACTACAACCAGGCCAGGAAGCTAGCAGGGAAGTGTATGGATTCCCTTGCACCCTAAAAGGTGATCTCCTAGCCAAGCGAGGAAGAGCTGTGCCGTGTGCCAGACGGCTGTAAGGCTGTGTGTAGATCTTGCAGTCCAGTCATGTGGGAGTCCTTGCCCAGCATGCCTAGTTCCAACAATATGGTTATGTTGCTGCTCACCATCCACCTGCCCATCCATCCACCCATGTGTCCATCCATGTATTCGCGCATCCACCCATTGCAACAAGTATTCCTGGAGCACCTATAGTGCCCTCACTCTTTAGCACCCCTCCAGCTACTGTGTGGGTTTAGCAACATTTTTTCTCTTGTCTTTGACCTCCTCTGTTTGACATGATCAAGGACACTGTCTTCAGGCAGGAATCCTGATTCTGGCTATAGATGGAAGCCACAGACTTCACCAGGGCCCCAGCGGGAAAGGGCTCTGCAAAGAGCAGAGCCTGAGAGACATGTAAACTTCCAGCAGCTGTTGCCCAGGGTGCCCTGACACCCAGGCTCACTGCTACAGCTGGGAGGGTGGCCTCCAAGGAAGAGAAGGGACTGTGTGAGGACCTGGCTCCCACCGCCTCCTGCAAGTGCTGCTTTCAGAGCAGGAAGGCTGGCTCTGAGTGACCACTGAACCCCTAACGCCAAAGCACCACACCCCAGGATACAGATTAGAAATGAGAGCTGTTTCCAGCACAAGTCCAGAAGCATGTTTGCAAAGGGGTCCCAGGACCAGCCTTGCCACTTGGTTCTGGCCTCAGCTCTTGGAGTTTGCTCTCAGACACCACTACCATGCTGCAGGGATACTAAGAATGGCAATAGTGGCCTTCCCCTACCCATCCTCCACTGCCCCCACTCTAATGTCCTGCTCCCTCCCACAGCCATCAGTTAATCTTCAGAATCAACTGGAAGTCGCCACCCCCTTCTCTGGACACATAAGTGTCCCTGCACTCTTCTCTTTTCCCAACACAGGGACAGGAAGGTCTGGCTTAAGGTCAGCCACATGGCCATTTAACTGCCCTGGGTAGGGAGAGGTGAGCGGGGGGAAAATGTCAGCCAGGGTCATAGCCACAGTGATGGATGCCTCTCTAAAAGCAGGGCTGCATAGCAAATGCAAGAGCAGTCCCAGCCCTGGGAGGGTGGGCAGGGTGGGGCTGCAGGGACTCTTCTCCTAAGAGCAGAGTGGGCAAGCAGGGGCCGCAGTAGTAGAGGCAGAAGCTCCAGCCCATACATCTAGGAGGCTGTGCATCAGACCACCTTTCCACTGCCCTCCTCCTCCTGCTTATGCACACACACACACACATATATATTCAATGAGAGAGGAAGCAATACCACTAGGGAATTTTACATTCTAAATAGCATCGGCCTCAGTCAGCCATTCTCCAACAGCCACAAAATGGAGAAGGGAGAGCCACAGAGCCAAGAGTGATCGGGCCTACTGGGCATTGGCACAAGGCGCAGTGAGGCAGGGCCATGCTTCTGACCTGCCATCCTTCCAGGCTCCATCCTCCATCGTCTGGTGCTGCCTGCCGGGTGTTCTCTGTAGCCTTTGTGCTCCAATCTCATTGCGCCCCACCCCACCCCACCCGCGCAGCGCCAGCTCCGGGCCTGCCGCCGTCTCACTGTCTCTCTCTGACTCTTCTCTCGTGTTTAGGAAGATCCCTCCTGCGGCCGATAGCCCCATGCCCTCGCCGGCAGCCCACATCACCACCCCCGTGCCAGCATCCGTTTTGCAGCCTTTCAGCAACCCCAGTGCTGTGTATCTTCCTTCAGCTCCCATCAGCTCGAGACTCACCTCTTCTTACATAATGACATCAGCCATGCTCTCAGACGCAGCTTTTGTGGCAGCCTCGCCGGACCCACGCGTCCTCATGTCCCACACCCCAGCTTTCCCCCATGTGGCTGCAACCCTCAGCATCATGGACTCAACCTTCAAGGCCCCATCTGCCGTGTCCTCGGTGCCAGCCGTCATCCCTTCCCCATCCCACAAGCCATCCAAAATCAAAACCAGCAAATCCTCCAAAGTCAAGGACCTGTCCACCCGTAGCGACGAGTCTCCAAGTAACAAAAAGAGGAAGCCGCAGCCTTCAACCTCCTCCTCCTCCTCCTCCTACTCCTCCTCCACCACCACCTCTGCCTCCTCCTCCTCCTCCTTGCAGGCCTCTCTCTCGTCTCCATTGTCAGGGCCCCACAGGAAGAACTGTGTTCTGAATGCCAGTTCGGCTTTGAACTCCTACCAGGCGACCCCTCCCTATAACAGCCTGTCCATGCACAGCACAAACAATGGCGTGAGCCCACTCGGTGCCAAACTGGAGCCCTCAGGACGGACTTCGCTGCCCAGTGGCGGCCTCCCCGGCCCCGTGGACCTAGTGAGACAGGTGGGCGCCGTGGGCGGCAGCAGTGACTCCTGTCCCCTCTCTATACCCTCCCTTGCACTCCACGCGGGGGACCTCTCTCTGGCCTCACACCATGCCGTGTCTTCTCTGCCCCTCTCTTTTGACAAATCAGAAGGAAAAAAGCGTAAGAACTCGAGTTCTAGTAGCAAAGGCTGTAAGATCACTAAAATGCCTGGTATGAATAGCGTTCACAAAAAGAACCCACCCGGCCTGCTGGCACCGGGACCGGAGCCCGGTAATGGCACCTCCTCTCGGCAGGTAAGGGACCTCCTGGCACTGCCTTCAGTGGCTCTGGGGGGCAGGGGGAGCTGGGTTGCACCCCTGCTCAGCCAGGGGCCTCAGTCAGGGAATGCAAGTGTGGCTCCTTTTCTCGTCTACCCCATGGGCCATTTCAGCCCTCTGCTTTGAGAGTATTGGCCTACCGAGATGCCACCCATGACCCTTCACCATGCACCCAGGCACCATTCTCAGCAGAGCTAAGTTGCAGGTTGAGAGCGGAGAGATCCTTACAGCCACCTTAGGGTGACTGGGACAATTGGTTACCCCCACTTTCCAGACGGTTAAATGGAAACACAGAGGTATTCAAGGTCCCCCCACCTCATTGTCTTGGGAAGATCTGAGGACTGTGTGTCATTAAAGAGTCCCATTGTTGAGAAGCTGGAGTTCATCTGTTGGAATTCTCTTAGGGAGAGCCCGAGGGCCCCCCCACCCGTTTCTGCTCTGAAGGTCCCTCAGTGAGCCAGGCTGTCACCACCTGCAGAGCAGAGAGACCAGCTGGGGCCTAGACTCCCCCCTTCTCCCCAATCTCCCTTCCCTTCCTCCTCCTAGTATGACTCTTCCTCTCTGAAGTTGACTCCGCAGGCTACATCAGCAGTCAGGCACTGAAGGCCATGGTGCCTCCAGGAGTGTGTGTGTGCAAGTGAGGAAACCAGAGAGATGGAGTGGGCCAAAAAGAGAATGTATCTGTCTTACTTTGAGCACTGTCCCCGCCCCTGCCTCCCATTCCAGCTTCCCTCGTCATGCTGGGGAACCCAACCACTTAAAGGAAAATCCCACAACCTGGACAAGGAGAGGGCCCAGCCCTGTCCCACTCCCGGCTGGGAATTGTCTTTGAAGGTGTGCACACGGAGGGGTGGCATGGCCAGCAACTGTGGCAGCCGTATCAGCAGCAGCTGCAAGAGAAAGTATGCCTGTCCCGCATAGGGACGAGGGCTGTGGAAAAGATGGGAGGCGGTTGTTAGATGTTTTACTGCTTTGTGTCACCGTTCATGAGACTTGTTAAAACTTCACAATGAACACCTCCCCAGGGAGATTCGCACATCACAAATACATAAGAAGCAGCAACCTTGGAATCCCAGGGCCAGGCAAGCTGCAGATGAAGGCCAAGGTGAGAGGAGGGGGAGACAGATGCCCATCTCATTGGCACCCGAGGCACCATTCTGGCCCCACTCCCCACCCAGACCGGTGGGCTGGACACTCAGGATGGAGGACAGGGCTGCTGCAATGTCAGTGTGTACACACTACCTCTAGGGAGCTTGGGAAATGCAGCTTCAGAGTGGGCAGGCCTGGATAGGGGCTGGGAAGAGAGGTGAACATTGGCAGCAGCTTGCCCGGGAGTCAGGCAGTGCCTTTGCCCTGGCCTGCAGATCACACCTGGAGCGGAAGGCCAGACTGCATCTCAGGCATCTTAGATGCGCTCTCTGGTCTCTGCTTGAAACACCTCCCTTGCTTTAACTCATGTATTAAAGGATCTGTTATATAATACCCTTCCTCCACCATCACCCCTCCTCCCCCAATCCCCATCTAACAGGTAAGAAAACCAAGGCATTGGAAGGCTAAGCAAGGGCCTCAAAGTCACACAGCAAGCCAACAGCAGAGCAACGGTGTAAAGCCAGGCATTCTTCCTTAGTCTCCAGGCCATGAACAGGGGCGTCTGTATTGCTCTCTTGATTGAAACAGGTGCAGTAAAACAGAGTGAGCCAGCCCCACCTCCCTAAGAGCACTCAGCAGGCGAGTGCTGGGACTCCCCAGTGCAGTGACACCGCTGATGACCTCCAGGTGGCAGGCAAGTTGAAGGCCTTTGGTGTTTGTGTTAACTGAGCAGACTGAGAGGCAAAGCTCAAGGCCCACGATAAATGTGTGCTTCGAGGACAACTTGAGGCTCTGTATAGTTGTGTGTGGGAGCTACATGGCCAGACTTGGCCACGGAGGTATTCAATTGGACAGAAGGAAAAGAAAAAAAAAATCCGTGAGTTTGTGAATGTCCTGAAGATGTCTGTACGTGCAGATTGGTGTGTAGAGTGAGCTATGGATAAGGAAAGTCAGATGAGATAGAGAATATGGGTGTGGTCCCTGGTGTCCGCCCCTGGGGACCTGGCCCAAGCATGTGTCTAGAACAGTCACCCAGAAAGGGGAAGCGCCCAGAACCGCTGTCACACACCCCACGCTTGGGGCCAGATGCCTTCATCCTCACCTCTCTAACAGATGGAATTGGGAATCTTCCCCCACCCTTCCACGCTCCCCTCTCCTCCCCTGGAAGGAGAGCAGCGTCCTCGAGGCAAGCTGTGGACCTATCGCATCCTCTCCGTCATCCGAGACAGAAACGCCAGTCCTGCAGTGAAGCACACTTGTGCAGGTGTCGGCAGAGCCCAGCGCCCTGCACTCTGGCCCGCCACCCGCAGTGGTGCAAGTGTCTGAGCAGGGACTTCGCTGGTGTCTTTCAGGTTGGGAAAAATAACAGCCTAGCTTTGTCACAGTCCAGTCCTTCAAGCATATCCAGCCCAGGACACAGCCGACCGGTAAGTGACCAACAGACTGAGGACCCAGAGTTGTCGGCAGAGTGTAAGGCATATGGGTGTTGGGGATGGACCCCGGTTCAAATCTCACCTCCAGGTGAAGGCAGAGTGGCAAGCTGGCTGCCCAGTCTGCACCGTATAGTTGCTAGTTTTGTTCTCTGGGCCAGGTGCCTTAGCTTCTCTGTAGTCTCATTTCCTCATCTATGGAGTGGGGTTCATAATGCCGCCTCCCTCGTATGTCTTTTGTGATGGTTTATTTACTTCTATTCTACTCAAAGCCTCGGGAAAAATGCTAGTAGTAGCAGTGCCAGCTGTATAGTCCTAAGCAGGTTGCTTCTCTGGGTCATGTTTCTTTACCAAATGTCAAGTGGGAAAATGAATGCCAACCTCCTAAGGCTATTATGAAATAAAATAAGATGGCCCAGGATGTGTGTAGACAAGCTGGAGCTTCTTCTGGTGGTAGGGGTGGGAGAATAGGGAGTGTGACTCTGTGGTGGGAGTATGCAGCATAGACAGAAAGTTCTAGAAGTTGAGACACAGTGAATCTTCAATGGATTAAGCCCAATGATAAATGATTTTCTCCAGTGGAGCCTGTGTGCCCAGGGGAGGATCGAGAGTGTAGGAAGGGATGTTGGTTGCCTGTTGCATCACTGGAGGACACACACACACACACACACACACTTTCAAAGCTCCCCTTGAATCTCCTTCTTTATAAACTTTTTGAAGTTGCCTTGTCTAGCTGTGTTGTTTCACTTAGATGCACCTGACTTTGCCTAGACAACAACTAGCAACTGTTTGCACTTTTGTCCTTTGTAATTCTCCCGCAAATCTTGGGTTAGCGTCTGAGCAAAAGCAATAGCCAAAAAGAAAGTTTTATGTCCCCACAGAACCAGGGGTGTCTCCCCTCCTACCTTCTACTCCGGTATTTTGGGTCACTGTATTTGGCCCTTTTTTGTGCCCAATGTGGTAGATGAAATGGCTGGACTGAAGGGCTCAGAACCTTGAATTCATGACCCAGGTTTGCAAAGCCACGATGTTTAGCCCAGCGCCATGCTTCTGCCTTATATACGTCACAGAATCGTCTATGAACTGCATAGGAATATGCAAACTAGTAGGGGGAAAGAGGATCCGCAGTACAAAAGGACATCAGTGATGAATGTCCACTGCTCTGGTCCCTGGAGGCCTCCTTGGTGACCACCTTATCCCGCACTCTTGGCTGGTCTCTGTATGCAGCGCACGTGGTAGAATGTGGTCTTTCCCGTCATAGAGAGCCGGGGCGGGGGGTGCGGGGGAGGGGGTCGTCCTCCAGTGCTTCCTCCCGGATCATCCCGAAGGTGTGGTTGTGAGATGCGTTTTCTTTTCTTTCCTAGAAGAACACAAACAGAACTGGGAGGATAAGGACTCTTCCGTAACAAGACTTCGAAGCCACTTCCAAATCACTCCCTGGCTTCCCTGTCGGGAGTCTCAGTAGCCCTGGCGGGAGGAGGGGCTAGCAGTGGGCAAAGGGAGACAATCTGTTTCCCATGCCCTGCCTGTGGCTCTGGCCTTTCTTATCCACCTTCTTTTTCATTTTCTTCTTCTTTTTTTTTTTAAAGCTAAGCAGTTTTGTTTTCAAAGAAAAAGGCAAAAAGGCCACAGATGTGATATTTACAGCCACCAATGCAGTGCTTTGTTTCTAGTGTCTTGCCTTCTGTTGCTACCGCACCATCGTTTGGCTCCAGCTCAGACAGGGCAGAGTGTCACTTCCGGGCTTGCTCCATCTGAAACTCTTGAACTTTAGCACCTGGAAAACCCCTGTGCTTCCTGGTTCCATGCCACACCCTTCCCTTCCAGCTTCTACTTGTCACTCCCTGGGGTTTCCACTGGACATCAGAGGGAGCTGGCTTTCACAGGTCACTCCAAGGCAGCTGAGAGCAGACAAGTGGAGGGGGGTGTGGTTGCTTCGTTAGGTCCGGAGTACATTGTTGGGATACCACGGAGAGTGGGCCGTTAATGACATGCTTGACCCAAGGACAGGGGGCTGCTGTGGGCCTGGGAAAATGGCAGACAAGTAGAGTGTGAGAGGTATGGAACCATAACCTACCAAAGACAGTGAGAACTGGATATTTGTGTTGGAAGTCTAGCCTTGCAAATTTCTTGCCAGGGTGCAAAGCTACGTGAGCCAGAAAGACGGAGGAATCCCAGAAAAATAAAACACCATGAGAACCCAGAAAGCCACTCCCCATGGAGGGCCTGTGGACCACCACTGCCTGATGTCCCTTTGGCTGCTGCTCTCCAGGCTTCCCGAGGGAGCTTGATGTATTAAACCACTGGGGAGAATAAATGCCAACAATTCCTCCCTCCCCCTGTTCACTCAAAGGGACCCCAAGAAGGAGCCATTTGGAACAGCCCCTGCAGCTGTGGAGTGAATCACACTGAAGTTCTTGAAAGAAACAGCAATACTATAAGCTCTGGCTGGAAGTGATAACCAGGAGACAGGGACCAGCACTATGGAACAAGTGTTCTCTGCTGTCCCCCCAGGCATTTGGCATGCGCTCACTGCCATCCTTAGGTCCTAGCTGTGCGCTTGTGGCCTGGCCGGGCACAGGCCTCGTCCTCCCCCTGAAGTTCTTCTCATTACTTCTCCACCCCACCCCCAGCCCAAAGATGAGACTACTGTTAAGCTCCACCATGCAATCAGAATCCACAAAGATGGGAGGCCGAGGGATGCTCTGTATCCATGGAATTGTACTGACAGTGTTTCTTACCGGATCAGTGAAATTTTTAATACAACATGAAGATTTTTCTTTTTTGAAAATCAGGAGTTGATAATAACTACCAGGACATGCATTCAGACTCTTTCAATTTTTATTTCTACAGTGTTAAAAGTGCACTTATATGCTGGGTTATTTACATCTTAGGGGGAAAGAGAGAAAGACTGCAAATTGAAGGGATAAATGTTACTCTTTCTTTAAGAAAAAAATTAACCTTAAGGCAGATTTTAAGACTTATAAATGTTTAAGAAAGTATAAATAAGTTAGACCCTTTGGAAAAAAGTTTAGAAGATATTCTTAAAGTAAATTTTTATAGTGTTAATTTTGTAATAATTTATGTTTTACTATATTGCAGAGCTAACTGACCAGAATAGTTTCAGAAACAATATGAAACTTAGGAAAGTTTAAGCAATGTTTCTATTTTTAAAACATCCTTTGGATTATGTTTTTATTGTACGTTTCTCCAGACTGAAAAGTGTGTACATATTTTTGTTATTTTTGCACAATTTTTGTCTTGTTTGGTTTTAGAAATCTTTTTTTTTAATAATTTATTGTAAGTTGTGAAACTTTCAGGAGTTAAAAAAAATCTCAGCAACAAAATACCCTCTGATCTACAAACTCTTTGACTCAGAGAGTGGGAGGGTGGAAGTGGCAAGATTAAACAGCTGCTTGTAAAGGGAAAAAAAATGCCTTGACAGGGATGTGCGGGGAGGGTCCGTGGGGCTCAGCATCACCTCGTCTTGCTTTGGAAACTGGAATTGAGAGGTTCCCCCACCAAATGCTGCTGACTTGCTGGAGATTCTGGCCCTGGCCAAGGTGACGACATTGCTGGAAAACCAAGCAAAAAGGGGCAGGAAGAGGCACCTTCTCGCTCTTCTTCCTCTGCCATCCACCACAGATTTATGTTACAGTGAAGGAATGAAAACTGACAGCTTGAAATACTGAATGCAAATCAGAGTTTCTCTTTAGGTTTGATTTCACGGATTCCAACAGCCTGGCCCAGGCTGCAAAGCATGATGAGGATTAGGCTTTTGGTATTCTTTGGTGGTTCCGCACACACTCCTGCCTGCCTCAAGATCTCCTCCAGACCATGTTGCCAACCATCATGGCTCAAAAGCTCTGGTTGTTCAGCATAACACGTGTGTGTAAACCTGTCAGCCATAAAACAAGCAAGCAAGTAAGCAAAGACAAAAACAACAAAACAAGCGACCTGGAAAACTTGTATGCCTTCTTTTGTATCAATGTACCAGTTGTAAATAATTCCGATCAACCTTTGTAGAGAATAGTTTATACAGCATATTCTATTATGGCTGATTCTCAGTGAACTCTTGTTTAAAAAAAAAAAAAGGAGGGGAATAAAAGGAAATTTTCTATTGACACCTTATATTTTGTTATGCTGTTGGCCCATGGCACTTTAACAAAACTCTTTGGGTTTTACGTAGCTGGTCCATCATGGGGTATTATTAAATAACTGTTGCACAGACAAAAATTTGCACCTGTTCATGTGTCCTTTCCTACTACCGATTTTAGAAACTTCTCCAAATGAATTTTGAACAAAGCATGTCCGAGCATTCTAAACGCATAGCCCCTTGCCCTCACCAAGAGGGCTTCCTTTTCTGTAACACTACGTACTGCCCTCCCTCGCCCCACACCTCTTTCTGTGTTAGCACTATCAGATAGAATTCATCCCATGTCTGTACTATTGTAAGCAGAACAAACATCTGCAAGAGGTGTAAATAGTGAACTCTATGGCTTACAGTTTTCAATAGAAAGAACAAAACACGTATCTACGGATACTGCCATGGTACAGCACCAGGCCTGGAAATATTCTCCAGTGAGTGATTGTATTTTTTTTTTTGTAACATGGCTTTGTAAATAAAATAATTTATATGTTTGTAAAACAAAGTCTTTGAGTTTTCCTACCAGTTGTCTTTGAAGTATGGCCTTTTTTTTTCCAGGGTTCTTTCTTGATGGAACATACATTTCAGGCAGAAGTAGAGGATCAGACAGTGGATCCATTCACATATTTACAGAGCAGCCTCTGGGTCCTAAGCTAGGTACTGTGTGCTCGGTGAAGAGAAGCTGGCCTGGTCTCAACCAGCTGTTTTCCGGAAGCAGCCCAGTAATAAGGAAGAGGAAATAAAGAAGCACTCAAGAAGTGAATGTGTAGTTACAGATCGTGACCAGTGCCGTGGTAGAAAGGATGGGGTTCTGTGAAGGAAATAATGTAAGACCATCAGAGTGCTCTCCAAACCTGGAGGAAGGGGCAGGCGCCGTGACACTGCTGCTTAGGCAGCGACTCATCACACCTGCACCTCCTAGTGGCGTTGCCTTGGTGTTGAGTACCACACTTAGGAAGGCAGCCGAAGATGGCCCAAAGGACTCTGGTCCCTGTTACCCACCTGGGAGACACTGATGGAGTTCTTGGCTCCTGGCTTCAGCCTAGCCTAGCCCAGGGATTGCAGGATTGCGAGCATTTGGGGACTAAACAGCAGATGGAGATCTCTAGGATCTCTCTCTCTCTCTCTGCCTTTCAAATAATCTTTAAAAGAAAATCTGAGAAAGCATAGAAATAAAATGACCTGAAGGCAGAGATTTCACCGGATAGGAATAGCTTAGTAAATTCTTGGAGCACGAAGAGCATCGGTAGCAGAGAGATGGACAAAGGACAGCGTAGAGTTTAGTTCAGGGGGAGGTCTCTAAAGGGCTGCAGGTAGGGACATGGTGTGATCTGATCTGTTGCAAGAGCACTCTTGGCGGCTGTGTGAGGAATCAGGATGAAAGGCAGGGGACCTGTTAAGGAATACTGTTAATGTCATCATTTGATATTCATTTGATGTTGCATGCCCCTCTTCTCCAGAGGCCCGTGTGTGAAGGGCTTGCCCCCATGTGATACCATTGGGAGGTGGCACCACTGGGAGCGAGTAGTATGTGAATCATCAGGTGGTAGATCCTGTAAGAGAGTTCTGACTCACTCACTGTCTGCTTCCTGGGTCACCATGTAGTCCTTCCATGCACAGTCCACCATTGCCATTGCCACCTTGAGCCAACTAGGCTGCCCACTTTTGGACTTGAAACTCAACACACTGTGAGCTAAATAAACTTCTCTAATATGTTAGTTGTCTGGGGTATTTCATTGTAGTCATGTAAAACCTACACAATTGGCGTGGTTCCCAGAATGATGGTGGTAGCCATCAAGGGCAATGAGTAGGTGCAAAGGGTACTTCAAAGATTCAGTTGGCACGACCTGCTTCAGCAAAGACTAGTCCCCACGTTTCTAGTAGAATGGTCTCGTTGAGTGGGGATATCCTTTCTTCAGGTGTGCAAAACCAGAGGAGGAACAGTACTGTGCGATGACTTCTGTCTGGAGCTCATCAAGTGCACAGATCCAGTGTTCATTTGCAACAAAAACTCACACAGTTATACAAATAGAGATGCTCACAACCTTAACACTCATTTTAAGAATGCCGGTGAAGTAGCCAGGCAGTCAAGGGCATGTGTAGCCACTGAGCCACCAAATGTCTTTAAAAGATATCACATTAAAGAAGCAGTATGGGTCATTCTGTCCTAATAGTGGTGGAGTCAGGAGGTATGCCTAGGCCAAAAAAAAAAAAAAATGGGGCTGGACGCAGGGCCAGTGGGCCAAAAGAGAATGCAGTAACACAGAGCCATGCTAGACTTCAAAGGTGTGATGGTGATACCATGCCTACTAGGCACCCAAGGTGTCCACTGACAGAGTTCTTGCTTGGATTAACCCATGTGTGAGTTCCTCTGCCATGTTGAGGTGACTGTTTATCTAACGGAACTTGAATTGTGGGGGTTGGCATCATACATTAGCAGGCTAATCCTCTGATGGCAGTGCTGGAGTCCCATATGGGTGCCTGTTCATGTCTTGGCTACTTCACTTCTGATCCAACTCCATGCCTGTGGCCTGCGAAAGCAGCAAAAGAAGGTTCAAGTCCTGGGGTCTTTGCACCCTCGTGGGGGAAGAAAAAGCTCCTGGCTTCAGATCAGCTCAGCTCTGTCTGCTGTGTCCGTTTGGGGAGTGAACCAGCTAAAGGAGGTTTTCTGTCTGTGTAACTCTTTCAGGTAAAAAATAAATAATTTTTTAAGAGTCCAGAGGTCTTTTATTTTTCTTTCATTTGTTATGCCATGAGTTCCCAGGGAACGGCTCCAGCAGCCCAGGCTCCTTCCCATTGCTTCTGGTGAAGTGGGCTTCTCTGGGTGGAGCAGGCTGGCGCTTCAGCTGAACCCGGGTACCTTTCTCTTTGGCTTCTTTTCTGATCATTTTCCTTCACTCATTTCCAGAAACTACCTTAGCTCTTAGCGTCTTTAATGTGCTCAGTATACATATTTATCCTCTTGGCAAGACTCTTGCCCTTCACTTGTTTATTTACAGCTATGCCAACAGCATGCTGGGTAACACTGTAGACTCTTCCAGTTTTGCCATGGTAACATTTATGGGGCATTCTTTGATGTCTACAATGTCACCTTCTTTATAAATGCATCTGTATGTGGCCAAAGGAACAACTCCATGTTTCCCAAAAGGCCTTAAGAACATGAACAGGGGCCTCTTGTGCTTTGTGCTTGTCATCTTGGTAAATGACTGGAAGATGACAGCTCCGGCTGAAAGGATAACAAATAAATAAATAAATCTTCAAAAGAGGAGCAAGTTGTTCTGAAACCAGTGGAGGAGTTGGCACTAAAGGATCTGAAGAAATGAAAGTGTATAGCTTGGGATTCAATTCAGCTTAAACACACACACACAAATGCAAATAAAAGCATGCCCCTAAAAAGTCTGTTTGGCCTGTGTGTATTCACTTACTTAGAAGATTATCAGGAAGTCCCGAAGGCATGATTGGTACACACAGGGTGTGCACGTGGAGGCTGAAGCTACCTGCAGGACTGAGTCGGAGCCACCGGTTTGGGACCATTGAGTATGGAGAAGCCGTGAAGTGCCACAGGCACTGTTATGATTGAATGAACAGCTGTCAAGGAACCCTAAGACGCAGCATTCCTAGAATACAGATTTCTCGGAAGTCAGAACTGTAGCTGGCTGTCTCAAGACTGCTGCAAAGTATAAGAGGAAGGCAGTGAACCTGCACTATCACCACATGGAAGGTCATTCATTGATGGCTGCTGTTTTCCTAGGGTTACCATAACCTGGTGATGGCTTGAACACAACAGATGTGTTCCCTCCTAGATTTGGAGACCGGAAGTCCAGTTTCAGGTGTTAGCAAGCAACACTCACCTGTCGAAAGCCTCTACAAGGGAATCCTGACTCTCCCCTTCTAGCTTCTGATCACAGCAGCCATCCTCACGTTCCTTGGCTTAGAGGCAAATCACTCCAGTCCCCTTCCTTTTCTTATGAGGACATCCATTAGTGGACTTAAGACTGACCCTGCAGGGCCCAGTGTGCTGATCTGCCCAGAGCCTTGGGACCCTGCCCCTGCATGGGAGACCCAGGGGAAGCTGTCTCTCCTCTCTGTAAAATCTGCCTTCCCAATAAAGTAAACAAACATTTTTTTAAAACACCCCAGAGTCTGAATCATCTCATGAGGTAAGGTTTAATCAAATCTTCAGATTCTCCCTTGCTTTTTTTTTTTTTCTTTCAGTTAAGGTCACACCTGTAAGTTCCAAGGGTTAGAACGGGGAGGTGATTATTCAGTCCACCGCAGTAAATGCAGCAAAGCGGGTGAGAGGGAGTCAGGCTAAAGGACAGTCACACTGGAGTGGTTTGAAGACTGCATGAGAGCCAAGCAAGGCAACTCGGAGGATGCAGATCAGCACTAAGGAAGTAAGGCAATATGAGAGAGTGAAGAAAGACTGGATTAGGACCAGTGCAGTGGCTTAGTAGGTTAATCCTCCACTTGCAGCACCGGCATCCCACATAGGCAACAATTCAAGTCCAGGTTGCCCCATTTCTCTTATCCAGCTCCCTGCTAATGGCCTGGGAAAACAGCGCGAGGCTGAAGCCCTCAGGCCTCTGCACCCAAGTGGGAGACCCAGAGGAAGCTCCTGAGTCCCAGCTTCAGATCAGCTCAGCTCTGACTGTTATGGCCATTTGGTAAGTGAAGCAGGGGATGAAGATCTCTCTTTATCTGTCTCTCTGTAAATCTACCTCTCAATTAAAAATGAATAAATCTTTTAAAAAGATAGAAGTTTAAAGAGGGTATTTTTTAAAAGACCAGGTTGTGACTTGTTTGTTGATGTAACTGGGACAATCGGAGTAGGAAAGGTTGAAGGAGCAAAAAGTGGGAGATGAGCGAGTGGGAGAGCTGTAGGATGAGGTCCCTGAGAAGACAAGAGGAAGGTGTCAGCCCTGGGGGGAGGGCAGTGATTGTTCTAGAGCACACGCAACGTGCAAGCAGTTATTGTACAGTCAGTGCTAGGAAGATGAGGGAAGCCCCATCTGGTGCTTCCATCTCCCTAGTGACCAGGAGGCAAGCTTCCTACGCTGGGGAGCCTGCAGACAAGTTAAAAAGAAGGAAACTGGACTATGTTGAGAACACCACATCTGGGATGATCAAAGGTGATGAAAGAATTGCAAAAAGAGGAAGAAACACAGAGAAATCTTCCATCCTCTCGTGTACTCCCTAAATGTCTACAATGGCTGGGGCTGGGCTAGGCTGAAGCCAGGAGCCAGGAGTTTCCTCTGGGTCTCCCATGTGGGTGCAGAGGCCCAAGCGCTCTGGCCATTTGCTGCTACTTTCCCATGCATAATAGCTAGGGGCTTGTTCAGAGGTAGAGTAGCCTGGAATCTGACCAATGCCCATATAGGATGCTGATGTTGCATGCAGCACCTTAACCCATTTTACCACACACCAGCCCCCTTATATCTATATCCTATAGAGTTTAAGATGCATGCATTCAGGGATGGTATTGTGGCGCAGTGAGCTAAGCTGTCATTTGCAATGCAGGCATTTCATGTTCAAGTCCCAGCTACTCAACTTCAGATCCAGCTCCCTCTTAATGTGCTTGGGAAAGCAGCAGAAGATGGTCCAGGATGATGGGCCCCTTGTACCCATTTGGAGATTGAAATTCCAGACTTCTCCTTCAGTCAGGACCAGCTCAGGCCATCGTGGCATTTGGAAAATAGACCAGCGGTTGAATGATTTCTCTGTCCCCTCCCCGAGTCCCTCACCTAAAAATAAATAAATCTTAAAAGAGAGAGTTTCCTGCAGCTCTGTGCAGAGATCAGAATGCCTGGGCTTGATTCCTAGCCACATCTCCACCCCTGGCTCCTGTTACCTGCTGAAGCACCCCACTGCCTCCGCAGAAACAACTCTTCTCACAGACTTGTCTTCCTAAACCGCTCTGTATGCCCAAAAGGCTTTTGTGTGTTCCAAGTGTCTGTTAGTTGGTTCCTATAGTTTATGATACATCTTTCTCCTTTCCGCTATTTCTCCCAAGACACCAACTACCTGCCTGATGAGTTATTTCTTGCTTTCTGATCTGAATGGGTCTATTTGGAACAGCTGTTTATGCAGCCAAGGCCACAGGAATGTGTTTTGCCTTGCACACACTAGGATCCCATATGGGCACCGGCTCATGTCCTGGCTGCTCCAGCTTCCCATCTAGCTCCCTGCTTGTGACCTGGGAAAGCCGTAAAGGATAGTCCAAAACCTTGGAACCCTGCATCCCGTGGGAGACTCAGAAGAAATTCCTGGCTCCCGGCCGCCCATCGGCTCAGCTCTAGCTATTGCAGAGAATGGCTCAAGTCCTGGGGCCCTCACACCCACGGGTAGATGGGAAGAAAATCGTGGCTCCTGGTTCCAGACTGGTCCAGTTTTGGCTGTCACAGCTATTTGGGGAGTAAAGTAGCCAGCAATGAAGGCCTCTCTCTCTCTCCTTCACTCCACCGGTCCAATAAAAAAAAAAAAAAATTATTTGAAAGACAATGAAGAGAGGAGACCTATAAGCCAAGGAAGAGAAAATAGCCACAGGGAAGGCATTAGAAATGGGCTTTCAGTGCTAATACTTCCTGTCTCACCATTGCATCAAGGACTGAGACAAATGCAGGCAGCTTTCCCCAGGAGGGACAGTGACCACGGTCCGCTGGTGCTCCTCCCTCACCCCTACCCACCTACCGAGCCCCCGGCCAGTCCTGGAGCAGAACTAGGGTCCCAGTGGAGGGAGGTGGCACCTCCCACGTGATCACGCTGCGGAGGGAAGGGGCGGAGTCTGTTGACAGCTGGGTGCCCGCTGGTTGCCTAGCAACGGCCAGACGCGGAGAGATGGAGGCTGCCAGTGGCCGGGAACGACAAGCGAGAGAATATTTAGAGAAACACGGGATCATGGAGCTGCTGAACCATCTCACCACCGTCCTCTTGTTTTTCCGGCCAGGTAAGAGTCTGGCGTCCTACTTGGCTGGATATAGAAATCCAGTTCTTGGCAGCCACTTCCCCGTGAAAATTCTATGCTAAGGAAGACAGTGTGGATTTTCAGTGGATAGCTTTAATGAAATTAGAATTTTTATTTTAAATGTTTCATTTTTATAGGAAAGGCAGATTTTACAGAGAGAAGAGAGGCAGAGACAGCTTCCATCTGCTGCTTCACTTCCCCAGTGGCTGCAATGGCCAGAGTTGAGCTGATCCGAGGCCAGAAGCATTTTGTGGCTCTCTCATGTGGTTGCAGGGGCAACAAAAACTTGAGACAATCTTTGCTGCTTTTCCAGGCTATAACCAGGGGGTTGGATCAGCAGTAGAGCAGCTAAGACACAAAGTGCCACCCATAGGTGATGCCGTGCTTACAGGTAGAGGAGTAGTGTGCCATGCCACCACACCAGCCCCCAAAATTAGGATTTTTAAAAAGATGTATTTATTTTTATTGGAAAGGCATACTTACAAAGAGAAGACGATACAGGGAGAAAGAACTGCTGTCCACTGGATCACTCCTTAAGTGACTACAACGGCCAAAGCTGGACCAATCTGAAGCAAGGAGCTTCTTCTGGATCTCCCATGCAGGTGCAGGGTGCCAAGGCTTTGGACCTTCATTTACTGCTTTCTCAAGCCACAAATAGGGAGCTGGATGGGAAGTGGAGCAGCCAGGACACAAACTGGCACTCAAATGGGTCCTGGCACAACATAGGTAAATTGGTAATGTCTTTCTATTCCTTTCCTGACTTCAGCAGGAGTCAGCATTAACAAAAACATGGTTAAATGCAGGCAAATTCCAACATTAACATTTCATAAACTCTCCCGTAGTACAAAGGACTTATAGCAATAAGCCTGTTTAGATTTTCATCAAAGTAGCATACCAAGTTTGTTAGTATTTTTATTTATTCTAGCCTCAAAATTTTAAACATATAAGTTGAAATTTAGACTTTTTTGTTTGTTGATCAGTTTAATACATTAGATCAGGAAGAATTAACTGAAGAATTTATACATGATGTGATTGTCTTTTCTTATTTGTTGCAATAGTCTATTGAAATTTGTACAAATCAGGAACTATTAGCATATTAGAATCAGAAGTTTAAATAGCATGGTAGCCTAGGGCCTAAAGTCCTCGCCTTGCACATGCCAGGATCCCATATCGGTACTGGTTCATGTCCAGGCTGCTCCACTTCCATCCAGCTCCCTGCTTGAGGCCTGGGAAAGCAGTCGAGGATGGCCCAAAGCCTTGGGGTGCTGCACTTCCGTGGGAAACCCAAAAGAGGCTCCTGGCTTCTGAGCAGTTCAGCTCTGGCTGTTGCGGCCGATTAGAGAGTGAACTGGTGCATGCAAGATCTTTCTCTCTGCATCTCCTTCTCTCTGTATATCTGCCTTTCCAATAAAAATACAGAAATCTTTTTTTTTTATTTAATAAAAATTGGGCCTGGTGCGATAGCATAGTGATTAAAATCCTTGCCTTGCATGCACCGGGATCCCATATGGGCACCGATTCTAATTCCAGCAGCCCTACTTCCCATCCAGCTCCCTGCTTGTGGCCTGGGAAAGCAGTCGAGGACTAGCCAAAGTCTTGGGACACTGCACCCACATGGGAGACCTGGAAGAAGCTCCTGCCTCCTGACTTCAGATTGGCTCAGCTCCAGCCATTGCAACTGCTTAGGGAGTGAACCATTGGATGGAAGATCTTCCTCTCTGTCTCTCCTCCTCTCTGTATATCTGCCTTTCCAATAAAAATAAATAAATCTTAAAAAAAAAAACTTTAATAAGAGAGCTTTTTATTTTTTATTTTATTATTATTATCTTTTTTATTTTACATGATGTTAACATGGTTGATCAGAGTGGGACGGATCAAGGTTAGAGAAAAATGGGTGTGGTCAGCATTTCATGCTGTTTTTCTGTTTTCTCATTTGTTTGCTTATTTTGGTTTTCAGCCTTGACTGTAAATTGGAATAATTAATTTCCAGACTTTTCTCAGCGAGGGCTCTCCACTGTCTTTACTGACACACAAGAAAGCAAGGCCTCCATTCCCAGTGCCTGCGTTAGCACCTTGATTATGAGTATTATATAGTTGGGACATACTGTACCTTTGCATCAGATTTGAAACTACTCTTTTGCAGAAAAACCAAGAGACTATTTAATAACTCTGTTGGAACGGGTGCGGATTGCCAAAGAAACCGGCGTAGCATTTCCCTTCTTCATGGATAACTCTAACATTGTGGCCATGTTCGAGATGATGGACTCCGCAGGCAGAGGTGCCATCTCATTTGTGCAGTATAAAGAAGGTACGTATCTCTGGCAGGCCGTCCTGGTCAGTGTTCTGTGACCCAAAAGAAACTCGTGGGAAAGCTTGCAGGAGGTTACACTAGGTTACAGCTGTGGGTGCGGTGTCCCCGGAGTCCAGTGTCTCATGGAGATGGCTCAGTGTGAAAGCAATGATCTCTCTTTTTAAATTAGTTTTATTCTATTCATCTTCATTTTTTAAATGTTATTTACATAGGTGAGAAGAATGGACACCCATGTGGACCATTGATTAGGGTGAGAAGGGTTGAGGAATGAAGGAAAGTAGATGAGACCACTGTTTCCACTTTTTTTTTCTTTCAGTATCTGTAGGAAGGGAGAAGATGGAGAGGGCTGCTCCCAGCATCCTGATCACATTAGTACCTGGGGGTGGGGGATGCCCACTCATGTCATCCTAGGATCCCCAGAGCGCAGCATGTTCTGGGGGTACTGCCCATGATCGTTTTGAGGTGTTGTTGATTTTGTTGTTCCAAGGATGAGGAGCTTCGCTAAGGTCCACTGGCTGACATAGGCCACCTTAGAGTCTCCTCTGACCCAGGTACTTGCTGCCAATCCTTGGCTGGGAATGTTGTCCAATTTGTTCTGCCCTCCATCCTCTCCTATGGAACTAGATGTCCTCTGTAGGCCCCAATGGACTGCCATATCACCCACGGGCATCTGGGTACGCTGTCTACTGCATCGTCTTCAGCAACCAAAGAGGCCCAGTTCTGACACATGCACTCCACGGTTAGACCACAGATCCTGTGACTTTCCCTGTGGTTGGACTTTAGAGACACCAGTGGTACAATTCTGGGGAGTTGGAGGTGACCCCAGACTTGATTCCTGTGTGTGCCCGACAGTGCATGGTCCAGCTCAGTCCATCACCCATGTCAGCCTACATAGACATTGGTAGTTGCAGGTGCTGGGTCAGTTCTGTCTCCAGTACCATCTCTTACACAAATCAATGGATGCCGTGGCTTAGCCTAACCCTGCCCACCACACACTCAGCCCTTATGCCACCAGTGGGAACTGCAGCTTAGTCTGAGTGACCCCCAGATATCCCCAGCCTTGGTTTGTGTGCATGCCACTATGTGCAGTGGATTGGTCCAGTCTGTCCTGCATCCCATTCAGCTTTTGTAGACATCAATGTACAAAAGCAGCCTAGCTCAGCCCAACCTACCCCGTTATCCAGCCCACACACTCATGCTGGCAGATACTACCACTGTGCAGCCAGGCCTGCCCCCAGCCCTGGTTCTCATGCTCACCGAGGGGAGCTACAGCCCATCAGAGGGGTGCCCAGTTTCCCTTCTAGGCCTACTCCCAGTCCCAGATCTTGCACTTTCCAGGTGGTTCTGCAGTCTAGTTTGACAGGACTTGCTCTACTTCCCAGCACTGCCAGCTGATGCTGTGTCAAAGCCTAACCAAGCTGCACTTACTCTGACTCATGAATGTACCAGTGGGTACAGCCACTTAGCCCAATCTGGTCCACCTCAAGTCCCAATTGTCACAGTCATCAGTGGGAGCAGTGGCCCAGGAAGGCGGCCTCTGCAGTACCCCTCCTGGGCTCAACATCCCTTCAAGGTCTGGCATGTGCTGGTGGATGCTGTGGGGAGTCCGGCATGGTCCATCTTAACCTCTGCAATCGCCAGCAGCTGCAGTACACAGGCCTGTCCTGAGTTCCAACTCATGCTGGCATATGCTGCAGCATAGGAGGGAAGCATCTTAGAAGAGCCACCCTCCCCAATGACCTAAGCACCTCCCAGGAGACTCACGTCTCAGAGGCCATGATCAGATCAACTCTGCAAGCTTAACCCATCAGCCATTATCAGGAAGATGTGCAAGTGTAAACACCTGCAGGTATTTTGGGAGGGAGACAAATCCTGCCGTACCTGTATCAATCTGAAAATATTCACTTGGCAAATATTCTGTTTCTTCTACTTTTTACAGCCCTAAAAACCTTGGGTCTGTGTACTGAAGATGAAGTTTTAAAAGGCGAAGGACATATAGTAACTTTGGACCAATTCAGGGATGAAGTGTAAGTCTACCTTGAAATGAGTTGTTTTAATAACATGACTTTTAGAAGAGGTTTCTGGATCCTGGTTTCAGATCGGCACAGCACCAGCTATTGCGGTCATTTGGGAAGTGAATCATCGGATGGAGGATCTTCCTCTCTATCTCTCCTCTTCTCTGTATATCTGACTTTGCAATGAAAATGAAATAAATCTTTAGAGAAAGAAGAGGAAAATGGAGAAAAAAAAAAGGAAAAAAGAAAGCTACGATGTTAATCTCATCATGTTAGATAAACCTTAAACTGGGCATGATGCAGTAGCCTAGTGGCTGAAGTCCTTGCTTTGCAAGTGCTGGGTTTCCCATATGGGTGCCGGTTTGTGTCCCAGCTGCTTCACTTCCCATCCAGCTCCCTAATTATAGCCTGGGAAAAATAGGAGAGGACGGCCTAAAGCCTTGGGACCCTGCACCTGCATGGAGACTCAGAAGAAGCTCCAGGCTCCTGGCTTCGGACTGGCTCAGCTCCGGTTATTGTGGCCATTTGGAGTGAATCGGGAGAAGGAGATTTTCTGTCTTTCCTTCTTTCTGTAAATCTTTGCAGTAAACATAAATAAATAAATAAATATTTTTAAAAGCTAAGATAAGTATGAAACTGCAATGCCACACTGTCCCCCAGTGGGGAAGGCACAGACCCTGCAGGGATGGACGCGACGCTGACGCAGGCTGCGACCAGGAAGTGTTTGTTGAGGAGGCCCTTCCTGCAGAACCAGAACAATCCGGTCCAGTCCATAATGTGCTCCCTTGCAGTGAAGTCCCCAGGATACAGCACCCTCAATTACGAATGTGCATTCCAAAGTGGTTTTTTAAAAATGAATTGGTTGGGGCCCGTTGCGCTCACTTGGGGAGTGAATCATCGGACGGAAGATCTTCCTCTCTGTCTCTCCTCTCTGTATATCTGCCTTTCCAATGAAAAAATAATAAAAATAAATCCTTAAAAAAAAAAATGAATTGGTTGTATTTGACTGTATACAACAGTTTCCTATTTAGCAAAGGGAATTGAAGTTGATTGTAATTTATCTGCTCTTGTGCTTTTCTTAATGACATACTTAGCATTTATATTTGTAAGTGGAATTATTCTGATTTTTCATAAAATTTTTTTTTTTGGTTTTGTTTTCTTAGGAACAAGAGGACTGAGAAAATATGGTCATCATTTTAATTATGCCCTAACTCCAGGATAATAATGAATGATTCTAAAACTTTCGGTTTTTCCAGTTTCATTAATTTAGAATTTCATCATACAATTAGAAGGCCAACAGACTTCCTCTTTGTTTAAAAAAACATTATTATTAGTTTTTTTTCTGAAGACACATTATTTCCCAGTGTTGGGCCAGTTTGTCCTCAAGTTAAGTAAAATCTCTACATCTTGCTGAGCCAGTTTGTAGATGCCAAGTTCATTGAGGGCCGCGGTGGCGGGCAGCTGTCCGGAGGCCGACTGCAGCACGTCCTTGAGGAGCAGAGCAGAACCGATGCTCAGATTCAACACAATGCAGGCTTCTTTGACCCTGTTTCCGGGCGAGGAAAAGGAAGCGGATGAGATCACGGTGCTCTGTGCAATCCAAGAACAATTTCAGCATGAGAAATGAACCAACGACCTCAGTGCCGGCCCACGTGTCCTCCCGAGAACTACGCGTGGATTTGTCCTTCGGGCCTTTGACAGCATGAAGAGTTTGCAGTGCAATTACAACAGGCTGACGGGTGGCTGCTGTCCCTCAGGACACGCTGTTTCCCCACATACAATACTTGATACTAACAAACTATGGGGTGTGGTTACCGCATTAGGCACGTGCAGCTATCAGAAGGAAAAAAATTAAGGGGAAGCAGTGTATAGAATACTAAAACTAAAAAACAACCAACCAACAAAGCAAAAACAAAAACAAAAAAATCCATACATCGCACACACAGACATAGCTTAGCGAAGCAAGCAAACCTAAGTGCTCACGAGTTCAAAATCTTTTTCTTGTCTGTAATAGGTTCAAAACTTCAAAATCTCACAAACTGTATACATAAACTTTAAATTAATATGCTGTAAAAATATTTCTAAGAATTTTGCTGATATACACACTTATAATTACACTTAGAATAAAAATTAGTAGCAAATGCTTCACCAACTTTGTTTGGACCTTCTTACTGATTATAGCAGAACTGTATCTGCTTTCATTTTCTACTTATTCCTGCAGTAGAGGCAAATATGACATTCAAATAAATGCTAAGAAACAAAGCTCTGAGGCTGGCATTGTGGCACAGTGGGGTAAGCCACTGACTGTGAAGTTGGCATCCCATGTAAGTCCAGGTTTGAGCGCTGGGTGTTCCACTGCAGGTGAGCATCCTGCTAATGAAACTTGAGAAGGCAGTGACGGAAGGCCAAGGTGCCTGCTTGGGCCCCGCCACCCACACTGAGTCCCAGATGGGGTTCCAAGCTCCTGGCTTCAGACCAGCCCATTCCTGACCGCTGCAGCTATTTGGGGAGGGAGACAGGAAATGGATGATGCTCTCCCTGACTCTTTGTCACTCTGCCTTTCACATAAATAAAGCCAAAAGAAACAAAGCCCGACATATAATTTATTCAGTTCTGGTAAGATTTTTGAAGTCAAAGCTCTTATTTTCTTCTGGTTTCCTCAATGTGCTCTGAACAAACATGAAATAATAGTGTTGTAAGTTTTTTCATTTAAAAAAAAATTTTTTTTAATTGGTCTTACTCTACCAAACATCTTAGAACCCTGAAGTGTGTTAGGAAGCAGTCAACATCCTCAACACTTGATGCATTAACAGTTAATTAAAAAAAAAAAAAAAAAAGGAAAAGAAATCTTTAAATAAATAAATATTAAAAAAAAACCAATTAATTGTTTAAAACTCGGCTTACTGTTTAAAATAATTTTCTGGTCTCTTGCAATAGTGAGAAAACAACGGGAAAAGATTCCGGGTCATATCAAACTGCAGCTGGGCCGCACCTCCCTCGTTGAAGTGATTAGCAAGGATGATCTGCAACAAGAGTACTTCCTGTTAACAGCTGCCTTCCTGACACAGGTTTCCCGCCACCTCCCAACAGTCTGCACTCACTTCTTGGTAGATGTAAACATCCAGCTTTTCCACAAGCATTTGCCAAAAGATTTTGAATAAGGAGAAGCAAAGCTGCTGCTCCAGCTGAAGCAAACGGTCTCGCAGAGTAAGCAAGAGCGGGCAGGCGGAACTGGAAAGGGACATGACCGCCTGCTCGGCCTGAGAGGGCAAGGACAGCCACCTGCAAGAAACACAGCTGTGTCACAAAGCTCTCACCGTTTGCCAGCAACCGCTGGTGCCCCCAAGAGCCACTGTAGGTTTAAGACAGGTCTAGGCCTCGGCACCCACTCAACCACGTGAGAGGTGCACCTGCCTGTAGCATCCTAGGGTAAGGGCTGGGTCAGAGGAGACTCTAAGGTGGCCTATGTCAGCCAGTGGAACAACAAAATCAAAAGCATTTCAGAACTTCCGAAATCACTCTAGTTCCTTCAGAGCTTGTTGCACATTGGGCACCCTTGAACGACATAAGGTGGCCATCCCTCATACCCAGGTATTGATGCTGTTAGGATGTTGGAACAATGGTCTCATCCACTTTCCCCTATTCCTTGACTCTTCTTACCCTAATCACTGACCCACAGGGGCATGCCTCTGACTCAACTTTGTAAACATCAAAAAATTAAAAATACATATATATATATTTGAAAGCCAAGTTAACGAGAGAGGGAGAAAGAAAGGGAGAGAGGTCTTCCATATAATGTTAGTATTGCTCTTCCAGTCACAGGTTCACTCCCCAAATGGCCACCCTCCACTGCTTTCCCAGACACACTAGCAAGGAGGGATTGGAAGTGGAGCTGCTAAGTCTTGAACTGGCACCCATATGGGATGCCAGTATCACCTCACCAGCCCCATTCTCACATGTACAGAAGTCCTAAACTGAGAAGCAGGCATTGTGGTGCAATGGGTAAGTCCACTTGAACTTAAACATGAGTGCCAGTTTGCGTCCAGGTTTTTCAACCTCTGATCTAACTCCTGCTCATGTCCCGGGGAAAGAAGAGGAACACAGGGCCCAGAGCCATAGTGTAATGGTTACGGTCCTTGCTTTGAATGCGCTGGGAACCCATATGGACGCCGGTTCTAATCCCGGGAGCTCCACTTCCCATCCAGCTCCCTGCTTGTGGCCTGGGAAAGCAGTCGAGGACAGTCCAAAGCCTTGGGACCCTGGACCTGCATGGGAGACCTGGAAAGAAGTTCCTGACTCCAGGCTTTGGATTGATGCAGCACCGGCCGTTGCAGCCACTTGGGGAGTGAATCATCGGACAGAAGAGCTTCCTCTCTGTACATCTGCCTTTCCAATAAAAACAAGAGGAACACAGCCCACTCACATGGGAGGCTTGGATGAAGCTCTGGAGTCTTAGCTTCTGCCTGTCTCAGCCATGGTCCTATGGACACTGGGGAGTAAACAAGCACATGGAAGATTCTCTCTTGTCTGTCTCTTAAACTCTCTGTAAGTCTATCTTTTAAATAAAAGTGGTTTAACGTAAAAGTTTTGTCACTGTATAATAGTGTGAAAGCCACGTGGACTCAGTAAAAGGCACTGAGTTTTGCTCTTCCTCTCGCTAATGGCACCACACTGGACAGTGGCAATGAGCTGCCATCCAGACGCAGACAACAGGTGCTCACTGCATACAGAGTTGCTAGTCTCTGATGTATCTTAAATGCATGTTTAGTCTACAGTATGTTCAACTTAGAATGGGTTTTTCAAGAACTTGGGGAGCATTTGTACTCTAACAAGAACTGTGCTCGGATGAAGACACTGTCTGCTCTGAAGCAGGTCCCATGTTAGTCGCAGCAGAGGTGTCCACTGGGAATTACGGTAATGGAATAAACTGTACAATGCAGGCATGAACAGGGTACTCAAAGACTGCCTTATTTTTAAAGATATCTGAGGCCAGAGTGTGAAGCTAATTGCCTGAGTCACCAAGTCTGCACAGGCATCACGCTGGAGTCAGGAAGCAGAGCTAGCATTGATCCTAGACCCTGAGAGGGATGCTGGCCTAGGCAGCATTTAACTGCTAGGCCAAAGGCCTGCCTTGGGACACCTTATGTTATAAAATGACTGACACACTAAGTCAAACCCAGGCCAAACAGATGAAGACTAAATTAGAATCAGTTTCTTAATAAGAATCCCCTGAAGTGTATTTCATGGACATTTCTGTAAGACACAGCTAAAGTTCGGAGTGCAAGGTAAACCCTGTTTTATCTAGAAACCCGGAGTGCATGTACCTGCCACCTCTTAACTTTTTCCAAGCTGGCATGAAGAGCTGACTCACAGAGAGGACATACCTTTCTTTTTTATACAGTTTTGCGGCTTCTTTGACTTCTCTAAAAACGTGGTCTACTTGGCGGGTCAGCATATCATGCTTCAGACGCTCCAAGAGGTTAATCATGTCATCAAAAACGGAGCTCTCCATAGAAGCGAGCTGTCCCAGCTGCAACTTACTGAGGGTGTTACTCTCCGCCAAGACTTCCAGTGCCGCCTGCTGCAGCTGCAGAAAGAACTGAAAGCAAACACAGGTGAGCAGGTGCAAGCGCACTCCTCTTTAACAGCCGGAAACAGAGTTCTTATGACATACAGGGCTCCGGTTCGCAGTGCACAACTCTACGGCTCCGAGCTTACTGAGAGGTATCACCATACTTTGAGAACACTGTCACTGCCCTCTCCCGAGAGACCTCACCCTCAGCCTCCAGTACTTTCCCGGTTGTTTTTGGCAACCACTAAATCTACTTCCTCTCTCTGCTGGCTATTCTGGGCCTTTCACGTAGATGAATCCTACAACATGTGGTTCTTTGTGATCGGCTTCTTTCACTTAGAATAGTTTCAGGTTCTGTCCACATTTGAACAGGTTATTCTTAATTTGTTTTTATCGCCCAGGAATGGCACACTTTTACTTTTTCCTACTTGTAGGCGTTAACATTATTTCTACTTTTTACTTTTACTATAAAGAATGAATGCTGCTGTGACATTTGCATACAAGTTCACTGGTATTTACCTAGCAATAAAAATGCTGGCTCATACTGGCAATCTGTGTTTAAGTCTGAGGAACTGCCAGGCTGTTACCCATGGTAACTGCACCGTCTTCTATCCCCATGCGCTCGCTATACACAAGCAGTTCAATTGCTGCCTCCATACTGACATTT